AGTTAAAATAAAAATCCTCTTTTCTCTTATATATAGACCAGGGCACAACTACACATAAAATGCATTGGTGTTACATAAGTGTTCCGATAATTAAACCCGTATATCTAAAGACTAGTGTAAATTGAGCCCTTATTAGAGAAGTAAAAATGTAATCAAACAGATTAGGTTTGTTAGAAATAGCATAAGGCAAAACAAATATTGAAAAACTCATTTTTATCCTAAATTTACATATCACTTTTTACATTCACTTTTTTGCTTGTTTAACATACGTAGACGGATTTTCCCGATTGTTTTATTTGTTTTAGTGTATTTAAAACATAAAACTAACCTTATTTAGTTAAATAAATTTTGGCAATATTATGAAGAAACAATGTTAAAACTAACCTTAGTACTAGTACTAAGTTTCAAGTTCCTAGGTTTCATATGTTTTGATAAGTAGTATTAAACTGTTAAAAATGACGAGCTGCTGTACCAGTGTACCATCGGTACACTGCATTTTTCAATGGAAAGTATCGGGGAATATCACTGCTCTAAGTTATTTTATATAGTAAGTAGCTCAAATCATTCGGTATACCTGAAAAAAATACTTTATAAAAGTTTTAAAATAATTTTTCAGCTGATCCTATGAATTTCTCTAACATTTTAAATTAATTGAGATTTAATCGCAGCTGATCCTTCTTTTGTTTTGATTTTAATCCCATGTTATTTAAATGGGCCAAAATCGTACTTTGAGGGCTTGCCAAGGGTTTATGGGTCAACGCACCGACTTGTGACCCTCAAAAGGCACATCTACACGCTAAGGGCTTTCAAACAACATAAAAAACATTAAAATTGAGCCAGTGGTTTGGGCTGTAGGTCCGTCAACATTTAAGGAGAAGAGGGAGAACACGGAAAATTTGTGAATTTTCAAACTAGTTTTTCTTGGCTCAAACACAACCTTTTTTTAAATTCTTTTTTTTATTTTGCCAAGAATGATTTCCCCTATCCAGTGGATGAACAATTATTTTAATAGCTTTTGTTTCTTCAGAGCTATAGACGAGTAAAAAAGCCACTTTGTCACGTCATGTATATATACACTGCAGCAGCTGTGTACCGCTGGGGGACTTGGCGGGGCGGAACGCTGCCGCGTTCCTTAATAGGTAACTAGTTTTTAAGTAGCTCAGTGTCTCTGATGAAAGATAACAGCAATAATACCAAGGTAAGTCTGTTTAATTATTTATAAACTATTTTTATGATACAAAAATTAATTATTAGAAGGTACCTATTATTACTTCATTGTTTTAAAGCTAATGTGCCTAACATAAAATAACAATTTTAAGTATCATTTACTACTAGCTGGTTGAAGTGTAAATGTTATTTTTATATTGATTAGTATCATGTGTTGTATATACTTAAATACTTTTTTCCACGAGCAATAACAAAATTAAAAGAGACAAGCTTTGAAAAATAATCGAGAAATAAACAAAATATTGCCAGTAAATGTTGGTTATGAGGTTTAACCTTACATGATACTGGTAGTCAGAATTCAAACAACTGCAAACACAGGAACGCTAACTTTAAACTACAGTATTTGGGTTAAATATGTACATAGTCTCTATCTCAATAATTGACAATACAAGATTACACTCATCAAGGTGTATTTAAATTACACAGGGATACATTTGACGGAGTATGTTGTCAAATTGTAGGCCTAATCTAGAATCTATATTTTAAGAAAATATTTTTAAGATTGATATTATAAATCAACCTATTTAAACACATATATCAATTTAACGCATGTTTTAATTGAAACTGTATCCTTTTCACAACATTAGCTTATGCAAGTGGCAGAAATTATGTTACGAAATTCCTCATTTATAAGAAAAATACTTCGTAACTACTTAATCATACTCGTTAGGTACTTTTATTGACATAATACTTTGAAATAAAATAAGTACCTAATATTATATTACAGTATTGAAAACAATATTCTCATGTTATGTTTCTGTTTATCTTGTGTTTCAGATTGTTTGAGAGGAGAGTAAACCTACAACTTGCAGCCATGTTAGTTAGTTACCTTTTAGCAACTGTTCAACAATCTTCGAAAGCTTCTCAACACACACACACAAACTACACCAGGGTGGTCCAAAGGACATTTTGCCGGTTTCCTCTTAGAGTCTTTTATAGGACTCATTGGAGACTTGTGACGTGTCGGCCCTGTCCCATGCGGTTACATCATCTGACAAAGCCTAAACGTTTTTAATGCAATCATCTCATATCCCTGAAAACTTCTGACCCAGTTACTCTATGAATACTCTCAGATTTTCTTCACATGTTATTTTACAACTCGCTTGTCTTGACCCGTAGTCTTCAGACCACCTTGCAACCTCCCTGTATCCCTCCCTGTGACATCTGTCACCGTGACAAACTACACATAGTTGGGTGAAGGAGTTACCCTGGGCTTACAAGCCTGGTCAACATACTTCAAGACCCATTATACCTCAGAATAGTAGTTTGTTCACTCCTCGTGTGTGGACCAGAAATGTTCTAGTTGTCAGACGAGGCGACTCACACAGTTCACACTCCGCTTTAACAAAGTATTTATTTCTACATGGCTGCAGACTTATAAAGGCCTTATCACTCTGAATTGAGTCAGAAGAATGAAAAGGAAACTTTGGACAAAACCCTACATCAGGTAGCTTTCCATGGTATCTTGGTAGTGCTGGTAATTAAGTAATGTTACATTCTAGGCATAAATAAAAATTTTAAAAAGTAAAAACCTTACAGATAATCATTCAGTAAAAAACTTCTATGAAGTGTCTTTCTACGTCTCACAGTTTGTAATTAAAAATACAGCCATCAATAGTAAATGGGTGAAACAAAATGCAATGTTCTTTCAAGAAATGATTACTCATTTATTGTAAAGACAAGTAAAATTGAACTTGGCAATAAGAATGATGATATCAATAGGAAAATATCCCTAATAACTAGTTCCTACAATAACAGCTCTAACACTAATTGATAAAACATACTCCTCACTTAAACGTGTTTTTTTTCTTCTAGACAAGCACCAAGAATCATCTTTCAACTCCCTTGCAACTTCTGAGTAAACTGTCAGAGAACAACTCATCCAGTTCATCTCCATAGGATTCCAAATTAAATCAGGTAAATACTCTACATCTCCATAGGATTCCAAATTAAATCAGGTAAATACTCTACACAAAAATAACTTAGTTTGGTAATGTATCGGTCTCTATTTCTTTCTGTGGCGATGGGTAAGTGGCAACATTTCTAATATTTAGTTAACCAGCATAAAAACGTGTAACATTGTGATTAATTTTAAAGAATATATTTTTATGATCTAAATAATCCTATTAGTCAAAGGCGCTGAGTTAAAACTAAACAACATTTTAGATTGTTAATTGTGCTGGAGAAGGGAAGTATGATAAGCAGGAACACAACCTGAGGTGATAAGATAACGGACAAAATATGTACGGTTTCTTTCCTCCCTTAGGCAAATGCCGGAATGGTTCTCTCAAGGTCCGTAACCTGCCAAGCAGGGTGAAAGACAGGCCTTTGTTTTAACACTAATGTACTTAGTTTATAAAGCTTCCAAGTAGGTCTAGTAACCATTTGAATAAACTAACATATTAATCAAAAATATCGTTTTTTGTTTGTTCAAAAAGAGGAAGTAAAACTAGAAATATTTCTCAGTAAAATTAATACTTTATATAATAATTTTGATTTTCACAAATGGGACAAATGTGATTTTTAGCTTCAAAGGAAGGTTGTTAAACAACTGAATATTTTTGTTACTAGCCACTATAACCGTGATTTGCAAAGGGGTGAGGATGCAGAAGAGAAAATTTTGTTTCTTTAAAAATACTTTAAAAGGTGAGTTTTATAGTCCCTTCTCCCCCTACTTTTTAAAGTTATAATGTTTAAACTCCACTCATCTTTGATAGACCTTAGTATCTTGTTTTCTCATGGGTTCATTGACTCTCCACCTCCAAAGGGGGAAGTCCACGAGGAGTAAGCCAAGATTCTTAAATGTAAACATAGGTTGAGATGTACATCAACCTAAAGGTCTCTATTAGTAGAATACAATTCCTGGTGTGGGCTGGTGTGTTAAAAGGATCCAGTCGAACGAATATAGTTTCTGGTGTGGGCTGGTGTGTTTAAAGCATGGCCGATTTACCAAATAGGCACGGTAGGCACGAGACTAGGGCGCGAGGCAATTGGCTTTTTTAAGAAGCGCCAAAAAATTGGAAATAAAAAACATTTTTTGTTGTACTTGCATGATCGCGGTAAACTTCTGATAATCCCTTCCGGCCATGTAGACATCGTAACCGTCTCCCCCGATTGAAGCAAAATTCTGACTATTTTCCACCGTCGTGTAGACATAATTATTACCATCCATGATCGCGGCAATATATGAACATATCCCGCGGTCGTGAGGACATTATCATCGTCTACCACGAATGAGATAAAATTCTGATCACCCCTCGCGGCCGTGAAGACATCATTAATCGTCCCCAATGGTCGTTTGTACATAGTAATTGCCTCCCGCGATTGCGGCAAAACTTTAATCATTTCCTGCTATTTTGTGGAGATCATCATCGTGTTCCGCAAATGAGGCGAATTCTGATCTTTTTCCGCAGTCATATGGACATTATCCTCGTCTTGTGCTATCGCGATTAAATACTGATCACCTCTCGCGGCCGTGAAGACATCATTATATCTTTCCCCGAGTTTGTTTGTACATAGCAATCGAAAGTAGAAATAGAATAGAAGAATAGAAAGTACATTCTTTAATATTTACTATAACAAAATATTCCATTACCTGTAAATAAAATAATTCTATGATAAATAAAGACCCAGATCTTCCAAATGTCAGAGAATAGCCTAATATAAGGACATTGATGTTAGATTTGGGATTCAAGTATGAGTGAGATTGTTCTTTCTCAAAGTAACTGCTTAATTCCATGCTGAACAAAGCTATAAGATGATAGAAAACTTACCGGTATCTTAGACACCCGCAGGAATTCCAGCAGAGCTTCTAGAGATCCGAGAGTGGACGCCTGGACATAGACTCCTCTCTCAGTGAGCTTGATACTGTTAAGAGCCGACTTGAGCTCACGAGCTACCTCCTCTCTCAGTATCTCTACCTCGTCTGGCTTTTGGGCAATCTGCAGGTTCAATCCTGCACAAAGGTAAACACGATTATAAAAATTGAATGTTTCAATGCCAGTGAAATTGTTTACTGAGCTATTATAATTTTAGAACTATTTTTTTTCTATTAGTAAACCTTGTTAGATTTTTCATTATCAGCAAGTTTGGTTGGTTTGGTTAGGTTATGACAGTTTAATTTCATAATTAATAAATTCTAAAATTGAATTCAAGGCATTTATAATTTTATTTTATGAACTATTTTTTCGATTAGTAAACCTTCATTCGATTATTATTTTATATATTTTTTTATATAATCAACATGTTTGGTTGGTTACGTTAGTTTATGACGGTTTAATTTTATAAATATTCATTTTTTAACTTATTAAAAAACTGCAGCATAGGTATATGGTATGCATGTAAAACAACGCGGGCTTGTTTGGACGCCGTCTAGAGGGGAGGTGAAGGGAGAATCATTTACCCCACTCCGCAGCGCCAGGGCACAACATCGTGATGATTTAGCGAAGGTTTAGACTCCAGTCCTATTAGATAGCATAATTAATTGATAGCCTGATCACAAATTGCATCTGAGTAACAATCAAGAGGTGTTGAAATCAAGTTTAGAACGTGTCACTTTAGCTTTTTTAATTTGTGACACCATTTCTCATAACATGCTCACCATGAGGAAAAAATTGTTTATAAAAAAATTACATAATAATATCATTATTTTGTGGACTGCTATCTTGAAAAAATTTGACACTTTAAAATGTATTTGGGGACTACATGAAGTTTATTAGGATATTTCAATGTGATATTGCTTTTGATTGATTCTATTTTAAGTAAGCTGCAAGAGACTTAGTTACTTTTAATATACATACTTTAAACTACATTCCTTTTCAATTAACAATTTACTAGACTTATCAAAATTTTAATTGATTCTCTGACCTGCAATTGCCTTTTCCAAATCCTTGGCAGCTATTTTGACACCTTGGGCCGCCTTAATTTCTTTATGCTCTACGTAAGCATTCTGAAAAAAACAAACATACATTTCTTAAACTTCTTAATGACAAGGGAAGGAGAACGCTGTATACAATAACCATGTATTTGAGGTAATGACTATACTTTCATACTAAAAAATAATAAGTAGTTAATAGTTTAAGTATCAATATCACATGCAAATGATATTCATGAAATACCATGTACTGTAATTGAATTCAAAGTCAATGTATAGTCCTCGCCACCCTAACTTGAGGCAGCCCAAGGCCGCACTAGATATACGGCGTGCGGACTTGGGCTGCCTCAAGTTATGGTTGTGCGGACTATAGCAATATTTTCTTACGTAAAGTGATGTCTCTGTAGTAATACCTAGATCCCACCCAGATCACTGTACTATTTGTGTACCTTTATATACCATTGGCTACAGCTTTTAATGAGATTTATGAACCATCCCAGCCTATCTGCACCATGTAAAACACTGTGTACGTGTTTACAACTACCTACAAACTCCCTCAACCATGTAGGTACATTGTTTGCTTTTTATTAACGTCTGTCTTCAGTAGATGAACTTCAATGCCGGTTGAAATCTTATCACAAAACACAATTTACACTTCTTTTTTGGCTACTGTGACAAAAAGTTTACAAAATTTGAATTTTCGCAAAGATGTTTAAATTCAAACTAGCTTTCTTGACCGCTATGGTAACTTTTTGGATACCTTTTGTGAACAACCCTTGTGACTGAGCATAATTCAGGTGTGAGTGTAAGTGTTAGTTTTGTAGTGTTAGTACATAACGGTTTTGAATAGAGCTGATCAAAAAAGTGGACATTAAAAAAAAATACAATCACTTTTGAGGAGCTGGTCTGGTAGTAGTAGAGCGTGGGGCTTCAGTCCTTGAGGTTATAGGTTCAAATCCCGCCAATCACAAACTGCTTTGTGGTAATGCAGCAACTGTCTAGGCTTAGCTTGAAGTAACATGTAAAACAGTTTGGGACAAGAGCTTACCTCCTAGAATACAATGGACAAATTGTTTTTAATTGCCGTACCCACCTTGACTCTAAGCTCCTTGAGAGGTTGTGGCATGAGCAATGATCGTATCTGTGTCACTATTGGTCCATCAGTGCCTGCCACTATCATGGTGTCTCCTTCCTTCAAGTAGCCGTTCACCAGGATGGCATCTATGGTTGTACCAAGTCCCGAAATGGCCTTAACCTCTAGAACTGTAGCCTGGAAAAGATATACATATTTTAGAGAAGAAATGGAATATATATTATTTCGGTTAATCTAATTTGGCAAATATGAAATGAATAGTGTAAGATAAAGAAAGTATATGAATTGGTTTTGATTTTGAAATTTAATTTGTTATTCAGGATCAGAGATAAGGATTCATAAACTTTCACAAACGGATAATAATACAAGTGAAGTGGGACATATGTTTGTAACCATAAATTTTAGGGGACCTTTAGAAAATATAATACACGGAGAAGTAAGGTACAGAGGAAACATTCAATGGTTCACCTAAGTGGTGTATAGCACTAGTCGCTGGTGTATAGGGCAAAGTCCAATGCCGATGCTTCTTCTAACCCAAAGTCAGAGACACAACAGGAAAGTTCAGAGATCATAAATATATTCTCAAGAAAATTAAATAAAGAAATGGGACAGTACACAGTGGGTAAAAATAATGTCAGAGGTAAAATGGAATATTTTTATTTTAAAACCCCAAACACTGACCAAACTTCTTATTTTTACACAATTACATAATAATTAAAAAAAAATTGTTCCAAAATGAAATATTTTAACAAAACTCTTCAGTCAGTCAGTATTCAGAGATATTAATGATGGTTACCTGTAGTTCTTCTGAGAACATAAGTCTCTTGGCCAACATGGTCTGACAGCTCTGCACTATGAGGGCCAGCAAGTTGCCCATGCCTTCTCCAGTGATGGCTGATGTTGGGACGAGCGACACGTAACTACGAGGATCAGGGTTGTCATAGAACAATGCGGCGTTGAGCCCCTGCGACAAAACCGATACATTATACAATGAAATGTGACAAACTTAAATATTGTTTGTAACATTACCACACAAGGGTAATGATGTCTATCTTATGGTTATAGAGGATAGGAGGCTTCATAAACAAATGATTGCACAGTCTTCACAACATTTTAAACGAAATTAGAGTCACAAATAGGAGTTTATGAGGAAGCTTTACATTTCTTATTTGCATTTCTGCAGTTATTAAACAAATATATATAGGAAACATAAATTGATAAAAGGTGAAGGCCAAACACCATTAACAGTTTGATAGACCACCTAAGTAAGTAAGTTTGTGTTTCTCCAAATCTCAAAATGAACAGTAAACAGCATTCGTAAGCCTTCGCTGCTGGTTTTTATCAAAATATGTCATAGTTGTTTTTGTCGTCAATCACATCGTCAGTTGGTGATCACTGTCAGACGTTTCGACTTTACTTTAAGAAACATCCTTAGAGATTCCTCGAGGTTGGCTCAGTTATGCACTGTGTATGCCTCTTCAAAAAAGGGAAAAAATGTGCAGCAGTAATTTCCAACTGATGACTCAATTGATGCAAAAAACAAATATGGATCCTATAAAACTGCAAAGGGGAGTGAGCTGGTTAAGTGGTATAGTACGGGCTTTGGTCCACGAGTTTTTAGATTTTAATACCACCAATCACCTATGCTACATGATAATCGTGTGACCCTCTAGGCCTAGCCTGAAGTAAGTGCAAAATGGTTGCAGGCTAAGTGTCCTTGGATATGAAGGAAGGTGAAGAAAAGCGTTAACTTCATAAGTGAAGTGAATAGGTCACATAAAACCATACAATCCTACGATAATTTTTTTATCAATGTTCACAAACCTGCTGAGCGAATTGCAGCACTGTCTCTTTCGTCCTCTGTTCAAACTCGAGCTGTGTGTTGGCTGCTTGAGCCTTGATGATGTCCCTGACATCTCTCCTGGCCATGGTGTTCCAGTCATACAACCTACAGAATGTACTCAGAGTCAGATATTGTGTGTACTAGGACCAGCTGTAGTAAGCACAAAGCTGGACACAATTTGAGTAACAATTCCCAACTGTGGTAGTACAACCTAATGCATAGTCTACCACGCACCTCTAAAATACCATAACTACAATTCCACCTGCAAAATATATCGCTAGATATTCAACACAGCGGTGATATTTCTTTTACAACTCACCTATCAATCTTGTTGAGCGCCACAATAAATGGAGTCTTCTTCTGCTTCAGCAAGTTGATAGACTCAATGGTCTGAGGCTCCAGTCCGTGCATGATGTCTACGACCAGGATGGCGATGTCACAGAGAGACGAGCCTCTGTTACGAAGGTTACTGAAACTCTCGTGCCCCGGGGTGTCGATAATCAGTAGTCCGGGGATTCTCAGTTCCACTTCCGCAAACTGAAACAAACAACAATCATGACCTTGCAATTTTACATCCACATAGGTCTTGAGGCTTTGCTTCACGCAAAGCAATAGATATAGGAATGGGCACACGGAAGGGACTAAGGCTAAAGATGTAGTGACGTCATATCTCTAGTGGTTAATGTCTTCTCTTGAGGCGACACGATTACCGTAACGAAACGATGTGATTTCAGCGGCGTTCGTGGCATAGTTGGTAGCGTTTCGGATTGATGATCAGGAGGTCCGGGGTTCGAAACCCATTGGCAGCACTAACTTTTTGTCAACAAATTTTTCATATCAGCAAGTTTGGTTGGTTAGGTTAGGTTATGACAGTTTAAAATTTATAATACTAAATTTTAAAATTAATTTTATAATTAATTAAAAATTATAAGTAATCATTAATTAGATTTTTATCTTATATAGTTTTTATATTATCAGCAAGTCTGGTTGGTTAGGTTATGTTATGACAGTTTAATTTTAAAAATTAAAAATTTATTTTATAATTTTAAAACAATATTTTATAATTAAAAAGTTAATTTTATAACAAAAAATTAAAAATTAATTTAAAATTTTTCAACTTAGCAGTCCTAGCGGCGAACGCTGACACTACAAGATATGTTAGCCTTAGTCCCTCCCGTGTGCCCCACCGGGTGAGCCAATACCGTATGAGAGTGAACTGCTACAACTCAGTGACAAGCACCAGGACGAACCCAGGATGGCTTCGTAGTTTGTCGCGCTACCGACTCAGCCACTGAACCACCAAAGTCGTAATGTTGAATATATTCAATTTTCACAGAGAATAATGTAATTTGCAAATGACATAAGAGCCCAGGTTTTACAGATTTTTGGGATTGCATGGTTATCAAAATGGGAGTATATTCTGACACAAGAAACACCAAAGATCGCTTGAATGAAAATTAATAGTAATTTATTACATATCTTAAATAATACAATATTATAATTATTTATGTAGTAAAAAATTAATACCACCCTAAAAGTAGGCTTAACAGGTGACACAAAGGAACCGGACGTTTTTTTTTTTTTAAATTAGTAGTACACAGTAGTTAAATGGAATAAAATGGTTTAAATACTGTACATAAGGAGGTAAACATTTGCCATTAGTTACAAAACAGTAATTTTTTAAATGACGTCATGCATATGGCGGCCATGTACTTCTCTACAAATGTTCATTCTGGTCTGAAAATCATCTGAAAATTGGGTCAGGAGGTCTTGTTCAAAGCCATTGATATCTTCCGTGATTCCCAACTTCAAATCCTCTAGAGTGCGTGGTTAGTGAGCATAAAAACGCTCCTTTAGAAACCCCCAAAGGAAGTAATCACTAAAGGACAAGTCAGGTGACCTTGGTGGCCACAGTATGTCACCAAAGAGAGAAATTGCCTTGTTAGGAAACATTCATTCAATACTGCACTCACTCTGGTGATGTTTTCGGGTGTTCTCGAAGTTCTAACAAGGCCTGGTGGTTTCTTTCTTGTTATATTCCCAGTTGTTCAGAACCCTGAAACCCACCTTAATAGCGTATTTCAGCTTGAAACCGTTCCAGGGCGTTCAATATTAAAATGTCGGCTAAATTCCAACTGGGTTTTGACGACGGATTCACCATTTTGGACCAAAGTATCGTATACGAAAACGCGATGGTCTAGGGTCCACTAAGCCATTTCAACAAAAATGGCAAGCCTCACTGAAGGTAATGACATAACCTCAATCTTTCTACCAATGGTCTTTCGACAACAATGGAACAGCTGTTTAAAAAACGTCCGGTTCCTTTGTGTCACCCTGTATAATGAGCAGTTATATAAAGAGGCAAAATGGCAGGCTTTTGAATGCAGTCAGTGCCAATTAAAGGTTCTAATTATTGTGCGTATTAATTTATTTTGTGTTAATTAAAAAAAATTAATGCACATATAGCATTGGACGAGAATTTAAATGTTGTAGTCCTTAAGTTTTGCCACTTGCAAGCCCAAAGACAAGTAGTTGGAACCCGCAGTTTTAAAACAAGTGAAAGTCACTCGGAGCAAGGGACGACTGTGGGGTGGTTAAAGGAAAATACTCTTATGAATGAATGAAGAAAATCTTGTGTGCTATTTCCCAAGTAAGGTCAGACATTTTCTTGCAAAAACTAAATTTGTAATGTTAACTTTAGTTAGTCCATTTTGAAACGAAATGCACCATTTTTGGAATGAACCTTCATTAACATTGATTCCATACACTTCTCACATTTCACAATAAGCTTCTACATGTTTTAACTTTATGGACAACAAAAACTGTATTACAGACCACAACCCACAACTATCACGATTTTCAATCAAAGCCACACGTTTCAAAATTGAATATTGCGACGACAGGCAGCAAAATGACGCTTCCGTTGTGACCACTGGGCTGTCTTTGAAAAGGAGTATACGTCTCTACTATAAACAGTGAGATTAGCAGAAGGAAATGTTCCCTACTTTCTGAACAACCCTAGTAGATAGATGGTAGTTTTTTTAACATATCTTAAATTACTTTTTAATCTGTCCAAGGTCAAAGTCTCTTATCCTTATTGTTCGCTCAGTAACTGCACTAAGCTCCCCCTAGATTAACAGCGTAAAGGTCCCAATATATACTAATTACTTACCCCTTTAACATACTTGGTGTTCTCTTTGATGGCATCTATAGGTACATTGGTTGCTCCTATCTGTTGTGTTATACCCCCAGCTTCACCATCTTGCACATTAGTCCGCCGCAACTTGTCCAGAATCTTTGTTTTGCCTAGAAACATAGAATAACAACGTTGAACTTGTCTTAGGATTTAGTGTTTTTTACTTTGGTATTAAGGTTTATTTACAGGCCTATTATATAGGCACTAAACTCCGTTCACAAAATTTAGGCGGTATTAGGGGAAGAAATCTATCCCCTCCATATCTTGACCCTACCATTGAAACATAGCTCAACAGCTGTTTTGAGATTTTTGAAACGTCAATCTACTGGAATATACGTAAAGCAGAAAAGAGTGTTGGGGAATTTCCCCTAACCGCCTAAATTTTGTGAACGGAGTATAGTTAGTCCAAGACAATACCTACCGTTAATCCAATCACTAAATGCACTTGATTTATATTCTGGGCCGGTGTTGATTTGTATTGTGACAGAAGTCTTGTGTCTTTCGGATTGCAATTTATAGTTTGGAGCAATTTTAATGTTGACTTTTGGGGTAGATAGTAGTTAAGTAGGCAAAGTAGAATCAAATATCTAAATCATAGGTCTCATGGTAATACCTAGCCCTGAGATTGATTTACTTTTTTTGTTTTGAGGTCCCCAGAGGCAAAAAACAACGTCTGTTCAAATTTAATTGATTATAATTATTCCCTGTAGCTGCAAACCTAAATTCTCATCAAACTGTTATTTAAATAGAGGTTAAATCTGACATTTTTAAGGAGATATTATAGTGAAAACCCGATCAGGCAAATGGAAATTCGCTCAGTCTGCAGAAATTTGCTGCGGCGGAGGTATTTTTACTACGCTAACTAAATATCTTACACCCCTAATAGTTTGAGATAGAGAGTACATTTAAAGTAGGCCTAATACAATATTTTTGGTACGCATATACCTTTGCAGTTACAAGAGAGTATGATAATTGACAGTCAAAAGTATTTTTAGCCATAGCAATATTTAAGATGAAATAGAGTTGGTTGGTTTTTAAATTTATTATTCAACCTATCAACTTAAACAGTTACTAGTTGTGATCACTAAATCAGCAGTAATTTTACAAGGTTTCATATGATCACTGAAGCCGTACATTCATACAATTACATATAGCCTACTTCTTAGCTTTAACTGATAACACTTAGTTACCTGTATCTACATGACCCAGAACACAGACTACAGCTGCTCTCAAGTCGTCCAAGGTTTTCTTCTTCTCTGCCTCTTCTCGTCTTTTCTACAACACAAAAAATTATTTAGCCGCAGAAAAGTTTATGCTGGTTTGCAACTTATTATTTCTTAATAGTAAAATATTTCCACACATATCCTCCTCCACACATCACCTGATATAAGACCTCATGAAGTACAAGATTTGAAAAAACCCATTGCATGATGAGATAACGCTGCCGAGAGGGATCTAAGCAATTCAGGGAACAACGCTGAGTCTTTTCCCTGAGTCTCCGTTTCACTTTAATCCCCAGATTCCGAGTCTCAGCATTAGTAGTTTTAACAATCTAACTCAAGCTGTTATTTATTTTATCTGTCTACATCAAATTCATTCTACTGACGCGGGTAAACATAGATCTGAAAGTAAATTACTTGTTTCTTGTACTTATTACTATTGCTATTTAATAGTCCTTTGTAGGATTTATATTTTGTGCAAAAGAGAAACATTGCAACAAACCTGTATCCTCGCCAGGGCTCGCTCTCGTTTGATCTGAGCATCAGACTTCTTCTTATCATCATCTTCTTCATCAGAACTTTCATCGCTGTCTTCGTCAGAGCTCGACTCCTCTTCAGAACTCGACTCTTCTTCAGACTCTGAGTCATCTTCTTCTTCCTCTTTCTTGGCCGGCGTTGGAGCTGCCGGAGCTTCAGGCTTGGGCGTTTCTTCTGACTTTTCTTAAAGTTGATAGGACAATCTTTAAGTTGTTTGACTATTAATTGTGAATATGGAAATTAATTTAACTAGGCTATTTACAAGTTCACTGAATTCTTGAATGAGCCACCGACTTACCTAAATTTGCTCAGGTAAGCTAGCTAAACTCTTTCAATTTTAAGAAATCCTAATCAATCACTTAACTCTCTTTTAAGCTATATTATAGCTGTATGAAAATAAACAGATCTGTGTTAGAAAATCATAACATGCGATCAGTTGGGTGTCACTTCATTCTTTGCTCTATACAGTGCCACATTAATCATACTTGTTGGACTAATATTTTTCAAGAAATAAACATTTAAAATCTGCTGTTTTGTTTTGATACACCCTTATAACCAATGTTACAATGGTGATATGATTGACTAACCTTCGTCCTCTCCCTCGGATGACTCAATGTCCCAGGAATCCTTGACATCTTCCTCTGGCTCCTTCTTGGGCTCCTCCTTGTCTACGATCTTCACCTCCACCTGCTGGGGCTGGGGCTCTGCCTCGCTGGCTACAGCTACTACAGGTGCTGTCAAATGTACCAAAGGTTAATGACTAACATTTAAAATAGTAAAATAGTGTATTAAGAGCGGAAAGTACGTCATTGTCACTCAAGAAAGCTTTGCGCAGCTAAAAATTTCGCGAGCGGCAATCACTGTTTGTGCTCGTTATACACACAAGATTCATGCTACCACTATGATTAACTTATCATAACACACAGATTAACTTTTTAGTTGTCATTTTGGTTATGTTTGCTTTTTACGAGTTGTTTACTTTTTTAGGTTAGGCCTATGTTATTTTCAGATCGAATGTTAGAGTTTCTTAGAAACGCCAACAATTAAATCAGCGGTTTTAGTGATTTACCGAGCGGGCATGGTCATTCGGCTCTAGAGTAGAAATGAGCTATTTTGCATACTATTTACAGGTGAGGCAATGTGATCATTTCCATGCAGTGATAGAACAAATACTTAGAGAGAAGTCTCAAGACCTGAAGAAAACTCTTTCTTAGTTGAAAATGCAACAGTGACATATTATAATGTTTTTTGCATATAGGTAGTTTTGTTTCTTGTGCCAGTTTGGACTCTTTCCCATTCAGGTAAGACTGCTCGTCCCAAAAAAAATGCTACAGATTAAAAAGTAATTAATTTGTACTGGGGAATTATATACCTTGTTCTGTGGCTGCCTCCTTATTCTTCTTGGGTCGTATCCTAGTGCCAGGACGTGGCTTCCTCTCCACCGTGGCGTCAGGAACGTCCAATCCCTGAGCCTTGAGGGCCTCTAGCGTGGCCTGTGCTCGGGCCTTGTCTGCCTTCTGCTTAGCTGTCAATAGTTTGCCCTCCGCCTTCAGTCGTTCTTTGCGCTCCTTCTCTCTCTGTTTTTTCTTTTCCTTTCTCTCTTGCTCAAGCCTCAACTGTTCCAAGTATGAAGATCATTAGAAAACTTGTAAATCAAAATTTGTAGATATTTTGTGATAAAAGCCATTTGATTTTTGATTCTGTATTTTGAATTTCAATCCTTTCCACTCCAATTACGGGAGGCCTATTTTCTCACCAGCTCCATTTAATTAGAGCAAAATTTTCATATTTCATTTGTTTACCAAAAATAAATATCGTCTTGATTTATTGAAGGCTGGTAATCTTTTTCTAAATACTTACACAAAATAAAAAAAAATTCAAAAAATAAAAATTCAAGCATAATAGGCCTACGTTGTCATAGTCACGGGCGGGCCCGGCCCGACATTAGAGTTCGTGCGGCCATGACTAATGGCGGGGCTCCCCGGCCATTTGAGCGGAAAGGGTTAAAGAAATATTTATTTGAGTTGAACTTTTGGGTTACACATCAACTTGGGGACGAAAATAACGCATAAGTAAAAACTGTTTACTAATTAACTATAATAAGTTGACCATCTGTTACATAAATATAATATCACATTCTATATCTTCTATATAAATAAAATAATCTATATATAAAGCCAAAAGTACCCATGAACTTTTGAGAAAACTACAAGTCACACCCCCATAAACCATATACTTAAAATGTTCGTCATGACAAGAAACCTTGTTCAAAACTATCCATTTTTTCCATAAATTGCCCTTCAAGGTCTTTGCTTTCCAAAGGGAACTTTTCATATACTTAATGTTAAAAATAATTCAGCTGTTATTTGTATGTTATTCTTTCAATTCAATTACCTGGTGTGATTATTGGTTTGTAATGCTGTAATCTGTTTTGTTTATTTCAGCTTAACTTAACCAATCAATAGTTTTATTGATACTTATGAAGTCAAACGGGTTGAAGCCCGTGGGTAACAGCTAGTTCTTTTAAGTGGAAAATATCAAGAGACAAACATCTTGCAGGATCATTCTAGAGATAGAGAATTTCAGCAGACTTCCATTATTTAAGATACCTTGGGACTCAAGCATTGTTCAAACTAAAAAAATACTGGATCATCAATAGCTAATACAATGATGAGTGGATGTGCTTAAAACGATTTTAATTATTCTTTTCAATCCCCACACACACTCTCTAGCCTCAGCTTAGTCTAGTTTAAATAATTCAAAAGTTATACAGTAGACTCTCGCTCATCCGGACTAATGTGGCGGACGTCCGGTCCGGATTACGAAAAATCCGGACTATCGAGAGTCGAGCAAATACACAGTACTGTATATAGCCGTTTTTTTCAATTTAGTTCCAGGTCCACAGTAATGATAGCCCGGGCATATGCACTTCCACCGGTAATAATCTTTACAGCCGAATGTTGTTCCAGGTCCACAGTAATGATAGCCCGGGCATATGCACTTCCACCGGTAATAATCTTTACGGCCGAATTTTGTTCCAGGTCCACAGTAATGATAGGCGGGCATATGCACTTCCACCGGTAATAATTGTTTTGGCCGAATTTTGTTCCAGGTCCACAGTAATGATAGCCCGGGCATATGCACTTCCACCGGTCATAACTTTTTCGGCCGAATTTTGTTCCAGGTCCACAGTAATGATAGCCCGGGCATATGCACTTCCACCGGTCATAATTTTTTCGGCCGAATTTTGTTCCAGGTCCACAGTAATGATAGCCCAGGCATATGCACTTCCACCAGTAATAATTTTTACTGTTGTTATCCGATTTTTTTTCATTATTCGAGGTAGTCTCGGTCCCGTTTTGCTTGGATAATCGGACTTCTACTGTACTGTACTGTGCCGCTAAAAAAAATCACGATTGCCGATCCAGACTACCGGGAGTCCGGACAAGGCCGATCCGGATGAGCGAGAGTCTACTGTACCTAGCAAATAAATATTAAATAAAATATAATTATATTCACATTTTTATATGAGTATATTTAACGAGTATATTTAACGAGTGAGTATATTTAACGAGTGAGTATATTTAACGAGTGGGTATATTTAACGATTCCTAATGTGTGACTGTTTAAGTAAGTTTAAGAAATGAACGACCCTAAAGGGTCGATCATATCGGAACATTAAGCTGCCGCCCATGTAAGAACCATGTACTATATATAGGTTAATTACCTGCTCTTCTCTTTTCTTCTCAGCTTCTTCTAATTTCTTCAGTCTTTCTTCTTCCTCTTTTTTAGCCTTTTCTTCTTCCTCCTTTAATTTCTGTAAAGCTTCTTTCATGGCGGCCAATGTTTTCTTACCAGGCCCTTTTTTGTCTTTATCTTTACTTTCTTTTTCTTCCTTTTCACCCTTCTTTTTCTTTTTGTCCTTCTTCTTTTTCTTGTCACCATCTTCTTCTCCTTCGCCAGCTAGATACAGATATAAAATTGATGAGAATTATTACAGCTGAAAATTATTGGTTAATATTTTCAACAGTTGGACACTGTTAATTTACACGGGACACAAGATCACACTTTTGTGATGCCACTTCGAATCATATCTTTGCTTAAGAGCCCACAACCCAATCCAACAATTTTTAACTGTTACTTATCTATATGATGTTTTTAAATAGATAGGTTACACTGGTTTTCAGTTGATATGACTTTTTTGCGTTGTTTGATTCAAAGCAATTAAAGCAATACAATTTCAGACACAAAGTAAGAGGAGCAATCAGGAACAGAGTTAACTTAAATAAAACTTGGTATATAACTATGTTTGTAATCAGATTTACTAACCACCCACTCTCCTTGCTCTGTCATAACAATATGAATGTAATGAACAGAAAGTAAGTAAAGTAAATAATTCAGGTTCTACTGCTTCCACTCCAGCCAAAAGTACCTGTACCTCTTTCTTACAGATTGTTAGTACAGTTTTCACTACTAACATCGGTTACCTTAAACTATATACTCTCCAGTATGTGTATTCTAACCCCTGAATAACTACTGTATAGTTATTCAGAATTGTTATTTCTTCTTTTTGTCACTTACATGGGATCCGCCACTCATCTTTTGCTTTGCCACTTTTGGCGGTGTGCGCCAAAATCTATGGCAACCATGGTAACCACTGCACGACTGACAGTCTATATTTAATTCTTTTTGTCTATGGTTTTATTTAGGAAAGGAAAGACCTTGCTTTAAAAATATTTCATCATTAAAAATACAAAATTAATACTCAATTTTAGCAAATTTCCCTATAGGGAAGGGGGCTTAATTAATTTAGCCTAATTAAGTTAGCTTTTCTTGGTGTCAGGGTATACTCACACTAGGTCACAGTAGTGGGTAGTTGTATTAAAGCAGACAGACATAAACTAAGCCATCATCTTAAACTGTATTAAGAACATAAGTAACTTTAATGCAGCTGATCTCAGTAGACCAATCCACAGCATGATTGATTATCACATTGCTAAAATCTATTGGTACATGATTTATTGATTTTAATGCAACCCCCAAAGACAGATGTTCTACTCTACTCTAACCGCTAAACCACAAGAACAAAAGAACCTGAAACTATAAGCAAAAACAGGATTAGACAATGTCAACACGTCTAAATACTGTTTATTCGCAACAAATTTCAATAATTTCATTTTCAGAAACAATACCTAATAAAACTGACCTTCATCATGCTCCTCCTTGGGTTTCTCCTCAGACACTTCAGTCTGCTGACTCTCTGGTTCTGGAGTTTGACTGGGTTCTTTAATCGTCACATCCTTTAAAAAAGCAATAATAATAGTAGGCCTAAGTTTTATCATAGACAAAAAGAATGAAATATAGACCGTCAGCTGCGCTGCGGTTACCATAGGTTCTGGCGCACACCACTGGTAGCGCCGTTTGTTACGGCGTACTCACTACGTAACTACACGGCCCTCCCAGCGGTGTGCGCCAAAATCTATGGCAACCATGGTAACCACTGCACGACTGACAGTCTATATTTAATTCTTTTTGTCTATGGTTTTATTTAGGAAAGGAAAGACCTTGCTTTAAAAATATTTCATCATTAAAAATACAAAATTAATACTCAATTTTAGCAAATTTCCCTATAGGGAAGTAGCTATTACCGTAGGTGGCACGGTAAGACCTAGACCCGGGACCGATTTACTTTTTCATTTTGATGTCCCCAGAGGCCAAAAACACCATTCGTTCAAAATTTTATATATATACGTCCAATTTTTGTCAGATTTTGATGAAATTTGGTTTAATGGTCTAAAGCGGGATAAACTTGAATGAGTTCGCGAACCAGCATGATCGGACCATGGGAACGGGGCTTTACGGGGGGTTTTATGGGGTAAAAATTGGTTATTCTCACTTTTGACCCTCAAAACACAAAATTTCCCAATTTCTCTTTAAACCTTTTTAAAGAGCTTAAAAAACAAATAATTTAGTATATAAAAGTATTTTTGTTCGATTATTAGTAACGGAGAAAATTTAAAAAATCGTAAATTTAAAATTCCCATGTCTTAAGGAGAATATTGTCAAATGTTGTAGTGTGCTTGTTTATGGATATATTTTGATCAGACTTGGCAAATTTATTTATTTTGTATTAATAACTACCGGTATCAATATTATTAACTATCAATATTATACTAAAAAACACATTTTAGTAGTTTCCTTGTAGCAGCAAACCTAGGTACTCGTTAAACCTAATGTTATTAAAATATATTTAATTGAAAATCAAATCAGACAAATGGAAATTCGCTTAGTCGGCAGGTTTGCTGCGGCAGGGGTATTTAATTTTACCTAGGTTAGGCCTAAATTTTTCTATTAATTTTGTTATTTTCTGAAGGTATATTCCACTTACATGAATCCCACTTAGATTGTGTGTCATGATTCTTTATCAATGGAAAAAAATATCGCAAATGCATCTTGTTTTTGTTAAAATTGAACCCTACTTTTAGCAATTATCTTTTTTGTTCTCAAACTAGACAGTTTTTTTAATATTTGTTTATTAACTTTTTAAACCCATCCACACAAATTCAAAATTAAAAAAAAAAACTTGAGATCTATTATAATTTAAGTGTATATTTAGTTTGCTTGTCTGAGATTGCATAGCCTATAACAATTATGTAATATTTTTCATCACATAAATGGATAGGTTTTGACACCTTATTTCTTCCATTTTTATAAAAAAAATATTAGGCCTAATTACTTTTTGTCACTAACAGACTCTAAAAAAAAGGAATATTGGAATTTTTAATTGAAGTTGTTAACAATTACAGAACACTCACATATACACATCTAATAACTGTTTTAACAAACTTTAATATAAACCAAAGAATGTATTTCAGTATCAGCATCTTTATTAATTAGGATATACAAATAGTTACATAGTGGATGAAGATATATTATATTAAATATTGCAATGAATCAATACACTTGATCCAAAACAATTAGGACCTATCAGAACTAAATCTAAATTATTCATTAGAGTAAATGATTGCAACTCTCAAAATAACATACAATAATCTCAGTTTTACACTTAAACGCCATTGAATATTGAATTTATACACCCCTAGTAAAAGTATTAAATGACCTAATTTTCAACTGATACTGGTTCACTACAATAAATTATACAAGTAGGCCCTATATATATATATATATTTAATTCATAGGAGGTTAAAGTATAGTTAGACGCAAAAGATTGTTACAGGTTAAAACTAAAACAAACCAATTTTAGACATGGGGCCCATATACAGAGTTTTTGGGTATTAATAAAGGTATATGACTACTTTCTGTAAAAACCAATTAGGCCTAGACAATATTTTTTTATGATTTAAAAATATAACTCAAAATAAACAGTGTTGACTTTCTTTGAGCAAAATTATCCCTTTTAAAAAACTGGATGGGTACGGTAATAGTAGGAATAGGGCTACCATCATTAGGCCTAAAGGCTTTGTAATTTAACTAGACTACATAACAGAGAAACAATGATTATAATTAAAGGCATACACTATTGATACCGGTACTATTAAAATAAATATTGATATTATTATTTCTACGTACCTTCTTTTTTGCCTCCAACTTCTTTTGCTTTTCGCGTTCCTTTTTCTCCTTCTTCTTCTGGGCCGCAGTCTTTATTGTCCCACCTTCTTGTTCTTCTCCACCTTCTTCTGTCTGTTCCTCCACCACAGCTGGTTCATTTTCAACGGCTTTATCTTTTTTCTTTTTCTTCTTTTTCTTTTTATCGTCCCCATCCTCAGTAGCAACAGTTTCTTTTTCAACACTCTCTTCTTTTTGCACCACACCACCTGAATATTCTATCTCCAACTCTGCCAACATTTTCTCAATGTCTTCATCATCTTCTTCTTTCTTCTTCTTTTTACCTTTCTTTCCAGCGCTCTTTTCCTTGTCTTTCTTACCGGTTTTAGTCCTTTCTACCACCACCTCACTATCAGATTCTTCTTTAGTCTCAGCTTCTGGGGGTTCATCTTCATCATCTGAAACCGCTAACAAGGCAAAACCAGGTTTTTTAGCACTTTTTTTAGTCCGCACTTCAGAAACTTGTTCACTATCACTCTCATCAGAGTCTTCGGGCTTATTTTTGCCCTTTTTGTTTATGTCATTATTCTTTTTACTAACACTTTTCACATCACTGTCTTCATCTTCAGACTCAACGGAAGTTTTTTTCTGAAACACAATTCAAAACATTATGTAGGCTACCTGTTAGTTGTGAAAATGCTCGTACTTACTTACCTAAGCTTTAATTGTTAACAGGTTTACGTCATAAATCAACAGTTAACCTTAACGAACAAAACTTAAGTTGAATGATTGATTTTTTAATCAATTGTATCTTACTTCTCTTACAGCTCACTATATCTGATAAAGATAATTTGTTAACAACCGTTTTATAGCGATACTACGTAAAGCGGCAGATTACCAATTTATAGGAGCAATGTCGTCGGATTACGCCCTGAACGTAACAATTGTTAGTAGCCTATATTTCATTCATTTAAGTACTGTACAGGTTAAAACCTTGATATATTCCTTTCACATTTTAAGGCTAAAGCCCCACTAAGGAAAAGGCCATGCTGCAACGCGGGCAGTGCCACACTAGGTCACAGTAGTGGGTAGTTGTATTAAAGCAGACAGACATAAACTAACAGCCTGCTTATTTACCTAAAACATATGGGATATGGCAAGTCTTTAAATCTAAAGAGTCGCTGGTTCAATTCCAAGCGAGATTGTTTCTAGATCCTAATGCCATTTGTCATGGGCTATGAATTAGCTATCAAACAAAAAGGTCGATGAGAGATTGTAACAAGACCAGGGTATGGACCATTACCTGCTTTTACAAAGCAAAAAATACCATTAGCGTATTTAACATGCAAAATAAAAAATATTTTTAGAATTCATTTGATATAATATAGGGTTAAACACAAAATCCTATTTCAGGCGGGATTCCTACTTTACCCAACTGAGACTGAAATGCACAGAAATATTCTTGTCCAACACAAACACCTCAAAATACCTTGTTTTTATATTTGTGGGGCATGCACAAAAATTGCTTCTATCAATTGAGCTGAAAGTGCTAAAACAATAATGCAAAATGAAGTTGAATATGAGTAAGAGAAAATGAAACCATAACAGCCTCAAATTAACGCACCTTTAGTTTTTCTTTCTTTCCTTTGGTCGAAAGCTCTTTCATGTCCTTTGTTATCTCTGTAACCTCAGCATCATCTCCATCTTCATCATCCACTTTCTTCTTTTTCTCCTTTTTACCCTTCTTCTTTTTTGACTGCGTGTCATCTTCATCTTCAATCATGTCATTTTCATCATCTTCAGTTTTACCTCTGAAAAAATCTTGTGTTAAGTTACATACATAATTCAAATCCTAATCACCACTTTTAATCCCCATTCTATAATTGACCTGCTTCAAAAGTAATGTCATGGTTGTATAATTGACATTTATGGTACCGGTAGTGTCAATTATAAATATTGTATGCTTGTATAATTTACCTAGCCTAATTAAGTTAGCCTATCAAATCGTCAACTTTGACTAAGATTTTTTTGTTTGATTTCTTTACCAACGGCAACATACCTTTTTTTAGCGCATATCTATTTCTTTTTGGGCATTTAGAACACCTTGGAGCTAGACTCGACAATTTAATACTCTAGTTACCGGTACTTTAATTCAATCACCATGTCAATGTCAACCAAATGGGGTGAGTACAATAAGCTAATAAGCTTTTATAAATGTGACACCAGCACTCAAACAAAATATTCAATAAATTACTTTTTAAAGCAACTATGGGCTAGTGGCTGGCAGGCCCTCAGTTTTCATGTGACATGCTATGGGCCCAAGAAATAATTGTGCCCCTTCCCCTTCCTCGCATGGGAATTTTTCTCTTCCTTGTGTCCCAACATACTATAAAACCTCTTGCGCCTCTCGACCTGCGCCCATTTACTAAAGCGACCCCCATTCGATTTGCGGCCTGGCCTAACATGTCGCAAAACGCTGTGACGTACTAGTTACCTCAAAATAAGCTCTAGTGTTAATATTATAATACTTAAATGTTTAATCATTCAACTTCTTGAGCTAACCAATATCAAACATTTAAATTTCATAATAAACCTAAATAGGCTGCATAATTACCAGTAATTTGAATGATAAATATCACCTCGAGCATGTAACTTAAAGCAATGATTAACTCATAAAGTCATTAAAGTCTAACAAAGTTTTAAGGGAAATAAAATATGTAAGTAAATTCAAGACCACCAGTATTGCAGTAACTATTAAATTCTATAGTGGACATATGATATATAAGACCTAAAAGGTACAAACCTAAGGCTTAACAAACTTACTTTGTTTTCCCTTTTTTCTCTTTGATTTTGCTACTGGTATCTTCAGGAGCTTCAATTTCATCACCATCGCTGGAAACAAAATAACAATAAAATTTATTTAGACTAGAGAACATATTAGCTTCTTAAAACTAAACCTAAAAATTTCTTAAAAGCCTCATTATCTTATCTTACTTAGAAGCCCCTTGTTATCCTCTTCTAAAACAATATTAGCCTACAGAATATGCATTTATACTCTTAGATTTCCAAAACATCAGCATTTATTACTCATTCTACTTATTATTTAAGTATTGAGACTGAATAGACAGGCTTAAATACTCAATGATCGCTCTGGCTCATCAATACATACAACAAATTCCTTAAGACAATTTTTTTTGTGAATTTCTTAAATTATACTTAACTATAATATTATGGTACAATACCTCATCAAGTAATCCAAATGTATAATAATCGTAAATGTGAATATAGCCATTGGCTATGCAGTAGAACCTCTTTAATCCGAACCCCTGTAATCCGAACGTCCACTAATCCGAACGCCTCATTAATGTACTCTATACACAGTACAGTAGTTTTTTATTGTATACTGTATTTATTGATGTAAATTTCATCAATTGATGAAATCAATCGATTTAATTGATGTATTTCAATTGTAATGTACAGTACTGATTATTCCCTATGTTTACTACTGTATTAAATAAACTCTGTATTTTACTTTATAAAGCATTCTTAACTTTTCCTTAGCTATTGTTATGTAAAAACAACAATATGTTCTGTAATCCAAACTATTCACTAGTCCGAACTACCCCCGGTCCCAATTAGTTTGGATTAAAGAGGTTCTACTGTAATAGCGGGCTTGTAGACAAACTTGTAATCAAACACCATAATAGGGAGGGCAAACAAAAGGACGAACATAAGACGTACGTATTGAATATTCCCACACAATACAAAATTGCCTATCTAAAGAGCTTCGTAGGCAGGGAACCGAATTAACATTCAAAATTACAAACCGTACTCGTAACACCCTGTCACAAACTGACCGATCAAGAGATAAAATGGAAATGACAGGTGTTTAAAAATTAAATGCCAAGATTATCCAAGCCAATTTCTTGGGCAAACAGGTCGTGGGTTCGCTACTCGCTACAACGAACACAGACCCAAACCACGTTTAATGAAACAAAATTCAGCATTTGCCCAGCATTTAATCAACCTAAACCATAACATGAGTGAGATTGCTGATGATCTTGAGGTGCTACATAAATGCAAAAAAGGTAGTAAACTATACTCTGTCTAAATTTAATGTGCGGTTGAAGGACCAATTTGTATTCCCCTGCTTTCTCCCTGGCCCCTGCCACCACCACATATTAGCCTACAGCTGATTCATACTGTTCATAATTTCTGGTGTCACTTTGTTTAAATTTTAGTAGCAAACAACATTGTGATTATTATGATGGTATTTTGTGCAGTTTAATATTATTCAGTCTGAGTTTACTTGATTAGTGTTGATTATAAATGGCCAAAAGGTGCCAAGATATTACAATTTAAACTAAAAACACAATTTTTAGTGTGTACAATTATTTAAAAAAACTTGTTACCACCAAAACAAATGCAACAGTGTGGGAAGTGTTCCATCAAACCCAAAAGGCTATAGCAAAAGCTTGTTCTGTTTCTTTTAGAACAGTGCAAAACATAACGGGAGAAGGAAACAAATCCATTGCAGTACATAATATGGAGTTCGAAGATTGTAATATAGAAAATATATTAAAAGAAGCAACATTTACTTCATCTCAAAGGAAAATATCCAACAAAAAGTGGATAACTGATCTAGATCAATTTGACAAGGACGTAGTCCGACACACTGTTTTTGATTTCTAAGAAAGAGGAGAGTACCCGAACTGCAGGAAGTTGAAGATGGTGCTAAAAATAAAAAATTGGATTTAGTGGAAGTAAAGATTCAGTCTGTAAGATACTTAGAGATGTGGGATTTAAGTTTAAAAAGACTAACGACGGCCGAAAATTCTTAACAGAACGGACTGATATTGTCGCTTCCAGGGTAGTATTTCTAAGAAAGATGAACAATTTAAGGCGACAGAAAACCCCTCTCCCACTTTTATACCTGGATGAGATGTTAGTAAACCAAAACCATGCAAGAAAGTGTATTCGGGAAAGCTTAGATGGTAAGGGAGGGTTTCGGGTCCCAGTAGGGAAGGGTTCTAGGCTTGTCATATGTCACGCTGGATCAGCTAAATATGGTTTTATAAAAGACGCACAGCTCGTATTTCAATCAAAAAGTAATGTCGATTATCACAAATAAATGAACCACACAGTTTTCCACGAATGGTTTCTTGATTTACTGAGAAGCCTAGAAGAGCCATGTGTTATTGTAATGGACAATGCCAGCTACCATTCGAAACGACTTAACAAAATTCCAAGTTCAAAATCAAGAAAGGCAGGCATTGTGAAGTGGCTATCAAATAACGGTAGCCTATTGAACACAATCCAGTCCACACAGTAGCAGAACTCCTTACCACCGTGCGGCAGCACAGGCAAGATTTTCCTCCACGGTACAAACTGGACGAACTTGCGTTGCAGATGGGTCATGAGGTTGTTCACCTACCCCCCTACCATTGTCAATACAATCCCATAGAGCTAATTTGGGCTCTAGTGAAATGGGAGGTAGCGCAAAAATAACACGTCTTTCAAAATAAAGGATGTCAGGAACCTTCTTGAAAATGCCATGTAACAGTAGGCCTACAATGTACAATGTACCTAACAGTAGAAGACATGTGGCCTAAATTTGGCTTAAAATAAAAAAGTGTGAAATTTAATGTTTGCTATGTTTATTGTCTACATTAAATACGGGGATTTTCAATTTTTTCATTTTTGAGGCAATTTTTGGTACCTTTCTTGAGTATTTTCATGAAATGCATAGTAGTAGATAGTAGGAAATTTTATTCTCTTTCGGAATATTACCTTCCACATTGGTCGATTTCCTCACCATTAAAAAGTTATTTGCAAAAACGTCAAGCAACCTCCGAATTTCTAGTGGTGAAAAAAAGGTGGAGATTACTTTTTAAATTTGTACAATTATGCTAAATCTACAGTTCTGCTGGATCAATTTTGTTAAATGATCTGTCTTTGGAAGGCATAAACTCTTTGAGCTGCTTATTCATTTGATGCATATTTTATGGCGGTAAGTTTAATAGTATAAAAGTTATAAGGCGTTAAAACCCAGCTATTCATTTTGAAACACCCGGTATTATAGTCATATAAAGTAGCCTAATCCAGGGGCTATCAACATGGAACTAAATTGTAAATTTAAAATTCCCATGTTATTCTTATGGAGAATAGATAAACTGTACCTAGTTTGCTTGTTTATGTTTAATCAAATTAGGTAATTTTGTATATTTCATACTAAGCTATCAACAATTCAATAAAAAACACCTCAATACCTTCCCTGTAGCAGCAAACCTAAGAACGGTACACATTCAAGTTAATGTTATTTTATTTAAGTTAAATACCTAGGAAATAGATCTGAAAATTTTAAGGCAATATTTTAGTACAAATCCAGTCAGGAAAATGGAAATTCGCTTAGTCTGCAGGTTTGCTGCAGCAGGGGTATTGATAGTTGATCTATTTAACATATGGCCTTTGAAACTCGCCTAGATCTCCATCACATACTGAGAAACAATCCAAAGTGATAGTGGTGTCACCAAAATTAGATATCCATAGCAAAAGGAACAGAGTGCATTAAGTTATGTTAGTCCTTGTGTGGCAGAAATCCTGGATGTTTTCTTTTCCGTGTTGTCAATTATTCTCAGTTAACTTAATGCTACAGTGATAGATTCTATAGAGGTTTAAGTTACTGCTGGAAAAGATCAGTGGTCCTTAAGGTGGCCTTGATATAAAGGATTTTAATTTTTTCAACTTTTATTAGGCATACTTATCAATTAGTTTCAACAGCTCCTTTTATTTTTGTCTGCAGTATGGTTTCAATCATGCCCGCGGTTTTTATGTAACGCACTATGAGCCTGAGAGACAATTGCGCCCCTCCCTCCTTTCCTTGTATATCTAGGTTATTTTTGTTTGTTCCTGTGGCTCCCGTCATAAAACCTCTTGCATCTCTGGGGATGGGCCCAGTTAGGCTACTAAGTTAATGCTGCATTGGTTGACAATAAGGTGAGTCATGTTTCATTGGAAGTAGGCTAAATGATTGGGGCTTGCTTTATGTTCCATTAAAAAATAATATCAGGGCCATAACTTAACTTAACACATAATACCCTATTACCTAAGTTATTGCCTATAAACAGTGGACTGATGGTGTCATTAAAAGCGTAAAAACACTTGACTATATAGCTTAGGTACATATTTACAAATCACGTACTTAGTATAAGTTAATATACATAAGTTAACTTAATTTAAAAAATACCCAGTGGTTATTATTAAAAATTTACATGTAACTATTTACTACTAATGGATTGACGAGCAAAATTAAACAATACAAACTTATTTAGCAGAGCCTGTGATGGATATTGAAAGCTTCAACCTCAATGCCACCTTCAGGAACCACATCATCAGAAATCCATATTGTTGTTGTGTAACTTTTATTGGCAGTAGGCCCTAACTAATTCTGATAACAAAAAAAAAATGAAAATAGCTTTTAGAAGATTGTAAGCTAATAGATCAGTTTTGTGTACAACCGATTTATTAAATCACTCTTGAGGAGGAAAAGTAGGCTACAATAATGCCGGAGATTTGTGACATTTACTGTTTATAGGTTAGAATTTGACCATGAAGCACCAGATTGAGGGTGTTATACTTACACGTCTTCGTCATATCCTAACTTCTTTCCCTTCTTTGCCTTTCCCATGGTGAAACTAAGTTATAAAGGCTAAATTTGAAGCAATAAATACAACACACCATTAACAAAATTGATGCAATCACAAAATTGGCAAAACACAACGTGAATGTAATCGTCTGTCTTCTCTTGACTTCGATTAACTTACCTTCAAAAAACAGAAACAGACAGAACAAAACAATACTAGCAAGTAAGTACGGAAAAGAAGAAAAACACTGAGAAGTAGTAATGACCAAAGGCATATAAGATGAAACAGCTGTTTCAAAGAAATCCAGGAATCTAACTGATTTCTTGTTCAAAAGCATGGATTATGATTATAGTGTACAGTATTACAAATTAATTGCATTATGAGAAGCTTTATGTATGTAATATCACAAATATAATTTTATTTTACGTTTGAAGCACTATTAAGAATAAAATAAAAATTATGGGTTCCCTCCCTGAGTGACCACACAAAAGCCACCTTAGATTAATTAATAAGGTAGGTAGTATTTCATCTAACAATTAAATTTAAAAAATAGCCCTTCAATTGTGATCAAAACCAGTAGCTTTTAGGTTATACGATTGTTTTTATTTACACACGAGTCTTTAATAAGGTGAATGTGTATTCCAGATTTAGACATAACTGTAAAAATTGTATATAGTATTTATTTCATCACTCTTTTGACCGGAGCTCTTGCTCTAGTTTAACAGCCGAGGAGGACTTTTAGCGTGTGATGAACTAACTTATTTCTATCGCAACATTACTTAAGCAAAAGTAAGCTATAAAATGAATAGTAGACTAGTATACATCAACATGATATTTAGAATCGCATAAATATAGTGTTAATGACATGCTTAGAAATTTAAGGTACGAGCCTTGGCGAGTGCCTTACAAACTTCTAGGAGCGTTGAAGCTCGATGTTGAAGCTCAGGTTAGGTAGATGTCGAAGTTCAAACGTAGAAGTTTTTAAGGCATTCGTCCCTTGAAAACTTTTACGAGTGTCGAAGCAAGTTCAATCTTATAGAAGTTTTTAAGGCACCGGTCAAGGCTCGTGTACCTTAAAATTGACTCATGTCATTAACACTATTTTTACGCGATCGTTGGTAAACTACTACATACTACCAAAGATTACATACTACTAACAAGGATAACCTCTCAAAAATGACTTCCAACATTGTTTTAAATTTTGCTAATGCAATTAAGCAGCTGTTTAGTAAGTATATGAATTCAATTCATTCATACTTTGCTTAGAACACCTACCAATGATGAAACAAAATTGCCAAATGATAGGCAACTAAAGGTATCCTCACACTCTGGAGCTTATAACAATAATCCAAAAAATGATAGATATTATTTTTGTTCAATATGTCTGGTGGTGGGAATCATCTGGGAATGAAAATAACCGAATCAATCGGTTATTGACGCTAAACAGACTAATTCTGTTATTTTATTCTGATTCGGTTAAATTAGCCTTTTCGAGCGATTCGGTGATTTTAACAAAAAGTTTGTCAGTTAAATTTATTTTATGATTTTTTATTTTTACCTTTTTGATTTTACACCTAAATTATTACAAACTGATATTTTTAACCATAAAATTGTTAGACTAAATATTACTGTACTTTTATAAATAAATAGACAAGTCGAAAACAGTGGGGGCTGGTACTGGATAGGCCCTTGACTAAATGTTATTCGGTTTATCATCACATCATCAGGTAAAATTAGTTGTTGTTTGGAATAAATTTTTGAACTAAAATTCATTCTACGATTCGTTTGACTAAAAATCACCGATTGACGCTAAACGACTAAATGCTATTCAGTTTCTCATAAGATACAAATTAGTTGTGGTTTGGGACAGTGACTAAGTCCAAAAAAGTATTATTAGAGTGATGATAGGGGCAGAATATGGATCAAGCTGTCGTCGTCGTTCTTTTAAGGAATTAAAAATAATGCCATTGACTTCTTTGTACATCTATGAAACAGTAAATTTTGTTCATTTAAATAATACACTTTTTGATGAATTTAGACCCACTCATAGTTATAATACCCGAAACCCAAATCTGCTAAATTATCCAATTCATAAACACTCTCATTTTGAAAAAAACCCCATCTATATGGGGATTTATCTATATAATAAGATCCCCTCAAAAATAAAATCCTATACGCCAGAAAAATTTAAAATTTGGACTAAATCATTATTGGTGGAGAAATCATATTACTTCCTGGCAGATTTCCTAAATGACCGTGACATTAATTGACCATTAGTTTATGTAAAATATGACACAGAATGTTTTTAATTGTTTTTTTCTCTGATATTGCTTCAAAATCTTTATTTAAATTTGTCTTTTTTCTAACTTTTCTGAATTGGTAACTTTCTCTCAATTGTGCTGTTCTTGTTGTATTTTGTTGTAACTTATTACTTTTAGTTTTTATAACTTATTGATTGACCATGCATCTGTTCACCATTGCCTTTGTAATGAAGAATGTTTTATGCAATAAAATACTTATGACTTATGACTAGGTAATGACTAAAACTGATTCGGTGATTCATTCAATTAAAAATAACCTTATATTGACGCTAAAAATGACTGATTGATTATTCGGTCATGGAAACCATTTGATTCATCCGAACACTAATATTTTCAATACAGTGGCGGATCCAGGGGGGGGGGTGAAGGCGGCAACCGTCCACCCCCTCGGGCATACATATATATATATATTTTTACTGCATGTAATACAGTAGTGCATACACATATATTGTGAAAACTAATATTTTACACTAACTTTGGACAAAGAAATGGTATAAAACTGCCATTTTGAAGACTTAGTTTACATCAGTTTTTCGAAGGGGCACCCCTGAACATATAGTGATGCACCATTATACAAACCCATATGTTTTCTGAAGCGCCTGTCCAATTATAAATTCTACTGTTTGTCTAATTCTTTGATTGCCTATCCAACCTCAGAATGTCCGCGGCAATTCGTTCTGAAGGCACGTGAAGAGTGAGCTTACGTATTCTTAGATGGAGTGCTTCAGACCATCGTCAACATTGTATTTCAGTGGCCCATAATGCAATGGAGGTCCATGCGAACTTAAGTGAGATCCCACAAAGATTGAGGACCATACAATCTTGCCACTGAGTCAACATTTTCCTTCAAGGCCTTGTTACTTTCAAGGCCTTTGTTACCTTCAAGGCCTTGTTACCTTCAAGGCCTTGTTACCTTCAAGGCCTTGTTACCTTCGGCACCCAAAAAAGCGTCTAGCGGATAGACGCACTAAAACAAATCATTCTAGTAAAAGGTCATTTAATTTACAGAGAATAGTTAAGTAGTGTAATCCACTAGATTCAAATCAGAAAAACTGTTGTTAAAACTGTTGTTACCTTGGTTGCTAGGATAACAAAAAAATAAACAAATGATTAAAGTAAATACAGAACACATGGTTATTGTGTTAGACATCTTAGTGGCACCACATTAGCCCCCTGCGGAGTCTGGAAGACCGGGCACTTTAAATTTCACAGTACGACCAGATCGGGTCACGTAAGGCTTGGGTTGGCTTGAGAGTAGGGTCTTGAGTGGGAACACTGTGGAGGGTGGATTTCTGGAATGTTTATTATGGATGGGTGTATGTGTTGAAGGAGTAAGATCTTGCAATAGATACGCGGGCTTTACTCTGTCCAACGTCACCTTCACACGTTTACCACGATGGATTATAGTCATAGTTTTATCATCACGAGATACCACGGGAAACGGTCCAGTATAAGGTGGTTGTAGTGATCGTCTAACAGAGTCATCTCGCAAAAATATGTGAGTACACCGTTTTAACTCCTGAAAAACGAAGGTCTTTGGTTTATCATGCCAAGATGTGGGCACAGGTCTTAAATTTGACATGTGTCGACGTAAGCAAACTACATAGTCAGCCGGGTCCTCCTCACGAGTTGTGTCTTGAGGGAGGTCTAGAAGTTCTCCAGGTAGACGGAGTTGGTGGCCAAAAACTAATTCGGCAGTAGATGCCTGAAGGTCTTCACGATATGTGCTGCGAATGCCGAGTAGTACGATGGGAAGTGCTTCAAGCCATGTTGAATCATTGTGGCACATGAGAGCTGCCTTAAACTGCCGATGGAATCTCTCGACTAAACCATTAGCACAAGGGTGATAGCCGCAAGTTCTGATTCGCTCTACACCGAAGGTCTTTCCAAGGGCACGAAATAATGCTGACTCTAATTGGCGTCCTTGATCAGTTGTGATGCGCAAGGGTGAGCCGTAACGGGAAAACCAGCACATCACCAGAGCCTCAGCTACTTCTTCTGCGGTGATGGTTTTCAATGGATGAACTTCTGGCCATCTGGTGTAGCGGTCGATAGCTGTTAGGCAATATTTGTATGGTCCGGATGGTGGAAGTGGTCCAATGATGTCAATGTGAACATGATCAAATCTTGATGATGGGAGTGAAAACGATCCATGGGGTGTAAATACATGACGGGAGATCTTAGCACGTTGACATTTCTCACAGGCTCGGGCCCAGTTTCGACAGTCTTGTTGAATTCGGGGCCAAACAAAGCGATTAGAAACAAGTTTTGCCGAAGCTTTGATGCCAGGGTGACTTAGATTGTGTATAGAATTAAAAACTGAGCGTCTAAGGGGCTCAGGGACAAAGGGTCGTTGTACTGAAGTTGTTGTGTCACAGTATACATCAAGGTCTGTTCCAGGAATTTTGACAAGCTTCAAATTAAGAGATGTCTCTCCCTTAAGGATCTCTTGTAGCTCAGGGTCAGAGTCTTGATGATGTGCCAAAGTTTTGGCATCTACAATGCTGGGAGCCGTAGTTGACAATGAATCTACACGAGAAAATGCGTCAGCTACTAGGTTGGCCGATCCAGAAACATGTCTTATGTCTGTAGTGAATTGTGAAATGAATGTTAGTTGGTTTTGCTGAACAGGAGGTAGTTTTTCACGTTTTTGACTGAAGGCAAATGTTATTGGCTTGTGGTCTGTGAAAACTATGCAATGATTTGCCTCAAGGTAGTGACGAAAGTGACGAATGGCGGCATATACAGCGAAAAGCTCACGGTAATAGGCTGGCCAAAGGGATTGTTTTGGTGTCAGTTTCTGTGAAAAGAAAGAGAGAGGTTCCCATGTTTTATTGTCAACCATCTGCTGGAGAGCAGCTCCTACATGGGTACTCGAGGCATCACAGAACAATGCGAGAGGGGCCTTGTGGTCAGGGTGAACAAGCAAGGTAGCATTGGAGAGATGTTCTTTGCAGGATAAGAATGCAGCATCCAATTCAGGAGTCCAATTTACAGGTTGGTTTCCACGTAGAGATGAGAGGGCATCATGGAGAGCTGCTTGTTGCTTGGCTGCTGAAGGAATGAATCTGCGGTAGAAATTCAACATGCCGAGAAAACGACGCAAACCTTTTGCAGTAGAGGGACGGGTGAATTGTTGCAGAGCCTCAACACGTTCAGGAAGTGGTCGAGTACCAGCAGATGATACCTCATATCCTAGGAAGGTAACCTTTGGAGCTTTCAAAACAGTCTTATTTACGTTAACGAGTATGCCATAATCAGAAAACCGATTGAATAGAGTTCGTAGATGGGCTTCATGTTCAGTCTCATCCTTAGAGAAAACTAAGACGTCATCTATATAAGGAAAGCAGAAGTCTAAACCAAAAACTACTTCATCGATGAAACGCTGAAAAGTTTGTCCTGCGTTGCGGAGGCCAAAGGACATGAAGGGGAATTCAAACAATCCAAAGGGGGTTGTAATGGCTGTCTTCGGGATGTCTTCAGGGTTGACAGGGATTTGTGTGTAGGCCTTCACTAGGTCGATCACAGAGAAATACTTGCAACCTCTGAGAGAATGGGTGAAATCGTGGATATGTCTAACAGGATATCTGTCAGGAATAGTCCTAGCGTTGAGAGCACGGTAGTCTCCACAGGGGCGCCATCCATCAGGTTTCTTAGGGACCATGTGAAGGGGTGATGACCAAGGTCCATCAGATCGACGTGCAGTACCATCGGTGAGCATGGCATCAAACTCGGCTTTGGCTATAACAAGCCGATCAGGAGCGAGTCGACGTGGACGAGATGAAACTGGGGGGCCAGGGGTCGTTTTGATGAAATGCAAGGTTGAATGGAGCACTTTTCTTGGTGTACCAGAGGGTCGGGTAATCATGGGAAATTCTGCCAGTATTGATGAAGTTGGAGAATTGGGTGTGATATTTTTTATGCTGAAATGAGGGATTGAGGTACATTGACAAAGAACAGAAAGGTTTGTTACACTGTCAATCAACCGTTGATTACGACAGTCAGGAAGCAATCCAAAGTGTGCTAAAAAGTCAGAGCCTATAATCGCTGTATTAACATCAGCAATGACAAAATTCCATGTAAAAGCTCGTCTCAGCCCTAAGTTTAATGTTAATGTCATCATACCGTAGGTGTGAATGGCAGAGTTGTTTGCTGCACGAAGTTCATATTCTATATGCTTTTGGTTCTTACAAACGAATGATTTAGGGAGGCAGCATATGTCGGATCCAGTGTCAATCAAAAATTTTGTATTAGTTGTACGGTCGACGATTTGTAGGCGGCGCCCTCCAGCTTGGCAGTCAGCTGACGCCATCACTGGCTGCCTTTGGAGTTTGTCGGAGAAGTGAAATTGCATGGTGGAATGCACTTTTCAGCTTGATAGCCAAAACGCTTGTGGTACCAGCATAGATTGGTTTGCTCTGTAGTGTCAGAGGAGCTACCTGCGTGATAACGACTACTAGACAAACTCCTCTGACGTGACCTAGGTCGCCTGTCACGTAGGGAATCAACATCTTTGCGCATATTTTTCATTTGCAACTCCAAAGCAAATAATTTTGATAAAACTTCAGTTAATTTTGGGTCATCAGAAAATGAAGATTTAGGATTTGGTGAATTAACGGCATTCAAAGATGTAGGCATACTAGTGAGAGAATGGCAAAAAGATGCGTTAGGTTGGACTTCTAGAATTTTGTCGGCAGTAATTGCAAGTGTGTCAGTTTGGGCACTTGTTTGCACTTGCAAAATACTCTGTACATGAGCAGGAAGTCTCTGCATCCAAATAGTTTTCAGTAAACTATCTTGGATTGTGGTCGAACCTACTAGTGATCGAAGGTGGCGTAGGAACTGAGAAGGAGTTTTGTCACCTAGTTCCTCCTCCATCAATAGCTGACGAATGCGTTGCTCCTCAGATAGAGACAACCGTCTGATTATTTCAGACTTAAGAGTAGAGTAAGGAGTTTCAACAGGTGGATCTATTATAAGATCCTCCACTTCATTAGCATAGCGCTCATCAAGATGTGAAATTACATACGAGTATTTAGTTGTTTCACTCGTGATGTGAGCCAGTGTAAACTGAGCCTCAACTTGGGCAAACCAGAGCCTTGGTTTCTCTTTCCAGAATGGTGGAAGTTTTATGCTTACCCGGTGGATGTGATGATCTTCACGTCGTTCGTCGGAATGGGCTGTATGATCTGGCTGATGCTGTGGTAGAACTGGTGGAAGATCAGGTAGATTGGCTTCTTGAGGATGTACAGAAATGTGATTTTGTTCTTGTCTTCCATTCAAATCTTGAAGTTGTCTTTGTAGGTTGGCATTCTCACTCTCTAATTGAGCTAGGCGCTCCAAAAGTTCTTGGTCCATGGCGTAAAACGATAATTTGGGGAAAGGTGAAAAATAAATGAAGTTTTGGTAGAAGGTTAAAATTTAATGTAGGAAAAACATCAATTTAGTTTGAAATAATTTACTTGTTAGTCGGGGTCACCATTTCTAGCGGATAGACGCACTAAAACAAATCATTCTAGTAAAAGGTCATTTAATTTACAGAGAATAGTTAAGTAGTGTAATCCACTAGATTCAAATCAGAAAAACTGTTGTTAAAACTGTTGTTACCTAGGTTGCTAGGATAACAAAAAAATAAACAAATGATTAAAGTAAATACAGAACACATGGTTATTGTGTTAGACATCTTAGTGGCACCACAAGCGAAAGATCATTCCTCCAACCTAACTCCGACATGGAGGCAATACAGTCCCACACAAGCTTAGAGTTAAATTTGCACGAGTATCAGAACTATTTACTTAATTGATTCATACCACACTTACCTCAGAGTTTATAACAAATTGACTAAAACCTTTGATGACAACTAGTATTTGTTGCAAACTCTGATGTAAACGTGGCTTTAGGAAGACAAAGGTTGGGTTAAAATGAAGAGAAGAGTTTAACAGCACTGCATTCACATATATATATATTAAATGCATAAGAATGTATTAAAAATCAACTTTATTTAATAGGAACATTTTAAACAAAAACACAATAAAAAATTAACTCTGTCAATACAACAATACACAGTTAAATACATTACAAACTTATATTTAAAAATATTAAATTGCTTATGCATAATAAATAACTAAATACATACCGGTACATATAAAAACAATTCCAAATTACTAAATAGAGATGAAATGATTTAGTTTGCTATCCTCACAGTTTGTTGGAATAATTTATTAAATATATTTATTTATATACATTTATAAATACATATTGCCTTCTGTAATACTATATGTGCTAACTATCTACCCACTAAACCATAAAAGTATAATTTACTTACATTTTGGGTGTCAAGTTTTTATGTGTGCAACTGAACAGCTCATAGCTCATCCATATCTAAAAAATCTTTAGCTCTAACCAAAAACTAATTTTAAAAGGTGATGGATGCAACAAAACTTTTGGAATAAAAGCACAGGTTCATAATTTAGCTTACTTAATGTTAATTCGATATTTACTGGCCCAAGCTATGACTTAACATAAAAAATGTATTACCTTTGACTATTAATTACTCTATTATTAAAGTACAATTTTCTGGGTCTGCTTCATACTTGTGTTTATTATCTTCAAACAGCTGAATTAAGGCAGAGGTAAACCTGTTATGTAGCTCGTCCACGACTTCTGCAGGAGGTGATGCAATTTTTGGAATCTGGATTGGTTTTCCAACTAAAAGACAGAACGATAGTTTCTTTCATTTAGGATATTTATTTAATCAGGTTTCCCAGCTTCAACTGGTTGTATCTTTAAGCATTGACTTTTGGATTCTGAAGTAGAAATCTCATCTAAATGGACCAGTTGATCCCAATTTTTTTTATAAAAAAGAACGTAGTTCTGTGAGCCAGTCAGAGATTGGTATAGTGCACAAAATCTAATTTTCGCCTTTATTCTTTGTTACTGACATAGTTGATAGTGATAGCACATAACAGTTGCTATAGCTTACAATAAGTCATCCTATCAAACTGATTAGAACTATTTAACCTAGGACTTGGTTAAAAAGCCCGCATATTTGTTAGAAATCAGTAATTTATATCAGCACAATCTGTTGGTGGCTCACATCAACTTTGTCCATTTTCTATTAAAAATTGGCGACAACCTGAACATGTGCATGAAAGTTCTATCAATAGTCAAAGAAGATATCATATTTTATCATGCTGGAAATATCAATGGAATTAAGATGTATTTAAACTGGAGTTTGAACCAAATGTTTAAAAACTCCGTAGTAAACACAGCTTAAAACAAGTGCTGCAAACATATGATTTTGTCTTGCGGAGAACAAAATCTGTATGCTGTAGTAGGTAACAGGCTGGCAGTTTGCATGTAATCGTGATGCACTATGGGTCCGAGAGATAGTTGCACACCTCTCCACCTACCTTGTGGGGAAATTTTCCTTGACCCTCTTCCGCCCCGGGCCCATAGGGCTCATTTATTAAAGCGGTACCGTGTGTAGCTCTGAAAATCATTAAAAACTTCAAATTGTTTTAAACAAAAACTTGCCTTTGCAAAAACTTGTCTTGGATTGTTATAAGCCTCTGTTTAAAACTTCAGTGTAAACGAGGCTTAAAGGAATAATGTTTATACAAATGCAAGGATTGATTTAACTATGAGCTCCTCTCAATAAAATAAAACTTTTTAAATTGGATCCACATTGTGGGCGCAATTATCTCTCAGAGCCCATAGCGCAACACATGCAAACTGTGAGCCTGAATTGTACCCAATACATTTCATTTGGTTATTATTGAAAATTAATTGTGTAAATTCAAATATTTAGTATGTTCTTAATGTTCTGGGGTGTGGGTGTGTTGCTAGCCTAGTGGTTACAGGGCCGCGTTAAGGGTCAGTGGAGCCCTGGGCAAACCCAAAAGCAGTGCCCCCTTTTTACTAGTGCAGGCAGGCGGTTGTTGAGGGGCACCCGGTGGGCGCCCCTGGGCATATGCCCAGTCTGCCCATTTATAAAAGAGGGCCTGAGTGGTTAGCGTCTCTGACTTCGGTGCGGGAGGGACGGGTTCCATTCCCTGCACACCCACAAAACTTAAATATGGGTTTGGTTTGACCGCTTTCCCTTAAAAGGGTTTGACCTACCGTTGACTTGTAGTATTAAATAATGCCACTGGCGCAGAAAAAAAAATTAAAATAAATAAAATAAACGAATTGCAGTAAACAGTATCATAAACAAACTCATAGATTCTGTAAGTTTTATTACTTTTGACATAGTATCTTTTGAATACCGGTAGGTTTGGAATTTATTATAAAAAAAGACATACCAACAGTGGCCACAGGATGGCGTCGTGGGATGACTCCAAAGTTGTACTGGAAGAGTCCTCGACCAATGGGAATACACGGAGCAATGCCCAGGATCTTGCGGCAAGTGTTCTGGATGACATAGAGCCAAGATCCGGGAGGGTTTGTCACTTGATCGTACAAGTTAGTCTCACCAAAAGAAAACACTGGAACTATAGGTGTTCTGCAAAAAGAGTAATAAATACTTTTAGTTTTTATTCTTGTGAAAGTCAATTAAATAAATAATATACTGTAACATAATAAATAACATCCCAGTCACCCACAATTTTGACGCAAAGAATTGCCTTACGTAATTAATAAATAGATTGTTAAGACTTAGACTTTGTTGACTTTGTTAAGACTTTGTTAAGTATGTTAGATATAGTGCTATATCCAATATTTACAATGATTAGGCAATTCCAAAACTGTAGATAACAGAGCTCGGGGTAGGTTGGCCGCGCTGCATTCTGCATGACAAAAACGCTGTGGCATAAAAGGGTTCCACTTGATCCTATGTAAAAAAACACCCCGACGGAACGCCAAATCTCGGCGGAGCGTAAGTCCCACACCCGCCCCACACGGAACAACAGAATGCGGCGGAGATTCCGTCATGAATAAAAGGGTCCCTTTGATCCCATGTTTTAAAATCAGCCCAACGGAACACCCAATGTATTTCGCCCGACAGAAAACGATGTGTTTAGGCCTTTACAGCTTATAATAAGTCAAGGGCGGGTCCAGGGCTAATTTTCAGAGGGGGCTATTCTATCGAGGGTGTGTGGGGTATTCTAATTCTAGTTCAGCATGGCCACAACTTCCGGGGGTATGGAATACTCCCCATTGTGGGAGGGGGTCCGGATTTTCCGGAAATTTTGGAAAAATTATATTTACAAAGTCGACATTTTAGGCACTCTGACGAAGAAAAAGTTTAATCTCTTGTAATCTGAAAGGGAGAGTTTAAGTGTAAAACTTCCTTAAAACATTTTTCTGTTCTTATACCGGTCTTGTAATTTCACCTACGGTATCTATTTTTAAAAGTTTTGTTTCATAATGTTGACCGTCAACAATGATTGTTTCAGAAAATAAAAAAGTTCCTCTCTTACTACATTTTTGATGTGTTTGTGGTGTTAAACACAGTGGTGTTAAAAAACGACCATCAATCTTAATTTGCCTAAATAAACTATTAAAAAATATGTTATGGTTCAAACTAACTACACAGTAATAAGCACTGTCTAAAAAAACATATAAATTTGAAATCTTTATGTTAAAAAATAAGTGTAGCAGAGCAGGATGAAAGAATGTATGTTTGTGTAAAAGAGAGAGGTTCATACGACCCGCCGGCCACAGTATCCCACCATTTCGAATGGTGGGCACGGCCCGTTTTTCCACCACACAGCGCGCCAGTATCCAGGGGAGTATTAGATTAAGCATACTCCGTATTAAGTTATAATATGGTATCCGTACGACATTTCCCAGCCGGGCGGGTGCGCGTGCGAAACTGCGACGTTGTTGATGTATACACTTGAACGCACATGTCTACTCTACGTGAGTGAATACTCTGTAGAAACGTCAGTGTGGTAGTCAGGTAGACATCGGCAACGTCGCACTCGTAGTACTGTAATGGCGGTTGCTCAATCTTGAGTCTAGACTAACCTAACTTAGAAAACAGCTAAAGCAAAGCTTAAGCCTTAAACGCTTCCATTACTTATCATTATAATTTTGTCATTTGCTTGTGCTTAAGTGGAGGGATGCACATAGGTTCAGTCTTGTAAAACTGTGTTACTAACAAAAAAACCATAACAAAACAAATACTCAACTGACTAATGAGCCGCATAGTCATCCCAAGAACAAAACAACCTCCGCAGGAACGAAAAGATCACGTGGTTCATGCCGGTAGGTGTGGCGTACCCTTCAAACCTGCGCGGCTCAAAATGGCCAAGGGTTCTTTTGTTTCTGGTATGTCTATAGTGGGTAGTAGGATGTACTGTATGACTGACGCACTGACGTGACGAAGGCATAGGATGGCGGGAAACGGGGATGCGCGCGGCAATTTTTAAGGCATTTTTTAAAATTAAAGCTTGAAAAAAATTTAAAAACCTGATTCTTGTTGGGGGGGGGGGCATGGCCCCTATGGCCCCCTCTCTGGAACCGCCACTGTAATAAGTGGTTTGTTTGGATTGGCTTTGTTAAAACATCCAGAGTATTTAACAGATATCGGTAATTCACATCAGCCACAGAGAAGTAATGTAGAGGAAATTTGCTTATGTGTCGGCCATGCACTATCAGCTCTAGTATGTTGTGCCAAGCAAGGAAGCGGCTGAGTGGAAATTCCTATTGCACATGGTCTTCCTCAACCGTAAGCGTTGTAGTGCATGAGGACGTGGGGGGTAGTGTTGGACTTTGCCCTAGACACCAGGACATGTGCTAGATTTTTCCTTTGTACCTTACTACTGTGTATCATTCCCCTACACTTTGTTAATAGCTTGATTCTTACAATTTTAGCATGGGAACGGGATGTCTAGTTTTATAGATAGTAAAATATGTTATGATCTTTAAACATTTCTTTAACCTCTCATTACCCACCCAGTTTCCAATGCAACTTTTATAAAGCCTTTTCTCTTCCTGAGGATGATCCTGTAGGTTCCTGGGTGACACTTGAATGCTTCCGAGGCCCCTCCCACCATGAGGACAACAGCCTTGGGATGTGATTGGTCCTGCAGGAGGTGTAAGATGCTCTCCCTCGAGGCAGCACAGAATCCTATAATTTACAGAGTAGTTACAATAGCATTCAGTTGGATACTGATAGCTGTAGCCAATTTAGAATAGAACATAAGGTATATAGCTGAAGATGTCATACCTGTGGCATATGCGCTTTAGTGAAATAAATATGGACTTCAAGAACACAAGGGAACCAGCAAAAAAAGGCAACTGGCGTATTAGACAATATTAAATCAGTGATCAGATCCTCTGGTAGTTCAGTTATACTAAGTCCAGTTTTAGTCAGAAATTGACATGTTGAAACCATCAGTCAACTATGTGAACTATGATTACTTGTTCTCCAAATCCAACTATAAACATGGTAAATCTAGTGTGTATGAAATTACTTGTTAATAACTTTAAAAAATTAACTAAAAAACTAAAATTACTTGTTAATCCATCAATTAAAATAAATCATTGGGTTTTCTCTCATTTTATTTTAACATCAAAATGCAATAAAGTTCGTCAATTAATTACAAATCTGCAGCAATAATGAGAACAATAACAGAACAGCTACTATACAAAGAACACTCGAAAATTCGTATAAACAAGTAATTACATTGGATTTTAAAGTTTTTGTAAAGGCTGTGTCACACGTAGCGACTTTGCTCGTTGCTAATAGTAGCGTCTACTACTCGCACTTGCCAATAATTTCTTTGTTGCAGTCACACTAGGCGACTAGTAGTACTGAGTACAGTGAAATGCTTCTAGTTTTTTAAAGCATCGCAATGTGAGCAGTAGGAATAGATGAGCCGACTTTCCTTACGACTTATTCTCTTGTTGTTAGGTGTAAGAGAACTGTGTGAGGACTGAGGATTTGCTTCGTAACGCAATGCAAGGAATTAGAATAAACGGAAATGGGTACGGGATTGGATAGCAAGGAGACATAAGTTTGATGTCCCTGCCACGCTTGTGAAAGATCTAGCGAGTGAGGACCCTCAATCGTACTACAACATTCAAAAACCGCCCAAATTCAATGAGTTGCTCGGCTACCAGCGACTATAGTTGCATCAAAAATAGAACATATCCTATTATTCGCGTTGCTGAATTTTTCCTAACCGGCGAGTGCTAGTTGCCGCCACTTACTATGTCACACCCAGCGATTAGTAGCCGTTACTCTAGTTGTGGCGAGCAAAGTCGCTCCGTGTGACACAGCCTTAAGAGAAACGGTCCTGGTCTCATATTTAATACTTTTAATAAATGGTCCTTTGCTAAAGAATCAGCTGATTATAGTCAGTAACTTATATCTAATTTAACCTAAATTTCCTAACACTTTTAAGGGGATACGCCACTATCTGTAGGCCATATTTTATATTTTTTTTACATTTTCCAAAAGTTGCATTTTTAGATAGGTCATTTAAATGTGAACATTTAGCTAAAATTGTTTGCCAATCTGACAACTCCTTCTAGTATAAAAAAAATAAAATATAAAACGCCGCAACCAGCAATTTAACAAAACTTTGAACTATTTTTTTTTGTTCCTGATATGTACACTTTTAATTGTGTATCATAATTATGTATTATGGAGTTATAAAGTAGGGTACATTTATTTAAAACAAAATAAGTACTTTGCTATTTTTATATATAATATAAAATAATAAGTTAGTGTAGTTATGGGAATTTTTCTCCTGTCAACCACCTGTTACATCACCTGCGATTATCTCAATACCGTGTTTTTTAGGTTATTATTGTACAAAAGTTTGAATAACTCCGTTAGTACTATACTTATAGTATTCAAATTTTCACCAGACCTTGTTTATATAGTAATAAAGGATTGTGTGTATAGTAAGCCCTATAGCATTACATTTACTAAAAATATTTATGTTTACGCAAAAATTTTAAATATTTTTTTCAGCTTTTTTATATTTTGAATAAAAGGTGTCCTAAAAATTTTGTTTTTTTAGTTACCATAACGATTATACACAGAAATACTCATTATTTCATCTTGAATCAGGAAATAAATAGAATATGTCATTCCGATCAGTAGTTGAAAAGTTATTCTCAATAACGACTTCTTAAAAATGTTGGTGAAAAAAACTAAAAACGCATATAAATTTAGTAAATAAGTTATAAATTCAATATTTTTGTACCTAAATCTTCTAACTAAGTCTAGTATAAACAAAATATACTAACTAGGTTGACAAAAATAAAATAATAAAAAAAAAGTTGGAGATAGTGGCGTATCCCCTTAACAGTCCACTTACCTAATCCAAGAATAAGTTCTCGAGACAACGGCATATTAAACGCTGCATTTATGGTGAGCAGGTAAGACGTGAGGCCTGGGAAAAGAGTTTTGAAATCGGACTGGTTTGTAGCAAAGTTTCCAAATGCCCCTGAACACAGCATACCATGCGGGTAGACACAGAAGAGGTAGTTAGTGGTGGGGGGCAACTCAGCTGTTTTGTGCAGACTCAGTGGAAAGTATGAATTGAAGTAATACCACCAACTCCAGTTGCGCACTGTTTCTAATCTGAAACAAATTTGTTGTGCAGCTTAATATTGAACGTTTCTTAATAGGGCTAAAATAACATTTTGGTTCCTTAGAATGATAACCTATATTCGATTATTTATATGTTTTGGTTTTTTTAGCTAAAGTCACCTTCTTTTGCTATATATTCTCAATGGATGCAAAACTGAATCAGAATGTCTTTGTTGTTCAAAATCGCTGATGCGGAAAGAATAAGTCCTGGATAGGTTAAATAATTAGGATTTACTACAAATAATGCAATCCTTTCAAGTATTCAACTTATATTTTTTTGGACTATTAAACAATTATAGTAAAAGTGATACTCTTACAGTAAGAATATTTTCAGCGGTTTATCTTACTGATTACTGTTAAGTTATGTTAAAAAAGGTACTATCATATTTTCAAATTATAATTTTAGTTCTAATTATAATTCTAGAGACTATAAACTTTACAGAAGATAAAGATACTACACACTGTGCCTTTATACTTGTCCCAAACAATTTGTTATTATAGCAGCTATTTCCTCTTGGGTATGATTATTAAAAACAAAATCCTTACAGTATCAAACTGTGCAAGGATTTTTTCATCAAACAAGTTATGTTAAAAAAGGTACTATCATATTTTCAAATTATAATTTTAGTTCTAATTATAATTCTAGAGACTATAAACTTTACAGAAGATAAAGATACTACACACTGTGCCTTTATACTTGTCCCAAACAATTTGTTATTATAGCAGCTATTTCCTCTTGGGTATGATTATTAAAAACAAAATCCTTACAGTATCAAACTGTGCAAGGATTTTTTCATCAAACAAGTTAATTTGCCGCACTAAATAAATTTTCTATTTACAAACAGTGTATAACCAGACAAATTTAAATTATAGTCCAAAATGTTGTAAACACAAAACACAGTTACAAACATAGGTTTGAGTAATAGATGGCTACAGTTGTGGTGTTTAAGTCTCAGACAACCAATTTAAGATATATATTTTCTTACTTATATGTAATCTAAAACAACCTATAACATTTCAATGTGAAGTCCCTCCTTAGTGTTACTTGGTGAATTGGAAGCGCAACAGACTAGTTCTAACAGAATTCAAGTCAGCGATAATGTGAGTCCTTGTCTTGTTGCCACCACTAATATTGTAGCCCAGTTTATTCTATGGTAATGTAACAGCTTACTCTTTGCTTTGCTTGATACGTTCCTCGCACAGACTTGAGTCCCATTCAGGCGAGTAAATGCAAAGTTAAAAGAGGCTGCCAACCTCTTTAAAAAATTAAAATAATTGTTGATTGGTAGAGAAATACCTTCGTCCACCAGAGTGAGCTACTCTCCGGTCCAGAACAAGCCAGCCAATGTACAGCAGCATGAGGTAAGTGTAGCTTGTATACAGCAACAGGTAGACTGCGGCAAAGAAGCAGATGAATGGACCAAACGCGAAGGCGACAAACCATGAGCCTGCAGCCAGAGTCTGCAATCTTCGCTCCAGTGGGACATACAACGGAGCGAACTGAATCCCCAGCAACTGCATCTTTCTAGAGAGAATCTTCAGCTATGAATCTAGTCTAGGTTATATTTTTCTTTGTTAGTGTCTAACAAAGGTATTTTGTATGAAAGAAACACTAACGCTTTCATGGTAAAGTTGTCATACTTCTTTTAATCTATGATAGTATGTTAGCAACACAGCCCAAGTATGAAGGGTTGAGTAGATGAAGGGGACAAGTAACAATTTTGTAAAAATTGAGTTAGATGCATGGATGAAGGGTGTAAGTGATGCTCTATTTTGACTCACATAGTCCTAAGTATAATAACAGCTGAGTTATTTTTTTAACTTAGGGGTTAAGTACAGGAAATGCACCCAAATGGAGTGTATAAAGTGTGTAAGGGGCCCACTTGCCCCCTTCATCCACTTTAAGTTGCACTTGCACCCTTCATCCATAACTCTTTGTGCTTTACTTGCCCCCTTCATCCATGTAAAGTTTCACTTACCCCCTTCATCCGTAACTCTTTGCGCACTTGTCCCCTGCACGTACCCCCTTATTGTTAGGTAATAGTAGTGTATGTACTGCAGCTAACATCATATCCAAATCAGCTGACAATGAAAATTACCTTGAACATTTCCTATTTGCATTTTAGTGCGTTTTAAAAATGTATTGGACCGTACTGGACCCACTTAGTACAATGAGTTGTTAGCTATTCTTTATAGGTAACTTCTTCCAAGAAGTAAATGATTATACATGAAAAAAAATATTTCTCAGAAAAAATGCAGAGATAAGACTGATAAGCATCTAATAAAAGACAGTTATTACTTGCACATTTAAAAAATATTTATTATTTTTTATATTGTGGTATTTCTTTTGCATAGCTGGCTTTTAGTTACGGTACTATTTTTTGGACAAAATTGCAAGTCAGCACATAAAGTCTATGATAAAGACTTTAAGTAAGTTTACTTGTTACATTTAAGTTTATTTTGGTGCAACAAACTTATTTAAATGTACTTTTTATGGTAACATGTTGAAATAAAGATTTTTTTTACCAAAAATAATTTATTTCAATCGTTTACATCACTTAACCCCTTCTTCCACTACGAAAAATTTTTTTTAATGGGATAAAGGAGGTAAATAATAGAAAAGTTAAAATTTTAATAGTAAGGAACGTTTCAATTTTTTATTAAGTATTGCACACAAAATTTTACTTCTCTGCCCTTCCTAATAGCGTTTCAAGAATGAAAAAAAAAATAAAAAAATAAAAAGTTATAACCTGCAAACTTTAGGTCCATTTATCTCAAAAGTAACAAAATGTTACTTACCGGTACCTCCTTCATCCACTCACCCCTTCAAGTATTATATTGCCAAGTCAAGGGGGGCCCAGCCTCCAAAAACTCTTTGTCTACAATTTTGATGATAAACATTCTTGGCTTAAATTATATGAACAGATTTTTACAATCCATTATTATTTGATTGATTTCCAATAACAGTGAACATAAAATTCAGAGCAGCCTGTTACAGTTTAGTGTTATGCCAATTGTTTACAGTATTTTTCTACAGAAGGCCTCAGAAGTTTATAAGGAGTTAAAGGTCACAGTTTATTAGGTCACTATTAAAATTGTTTACTGACAAAAATTGTGTGTTTGGATTGTGCATATAAAATGTGTATTAACATAGTATATTTATTTTTCGTGAATTTCCTATGCAAGGAGAAGCTATTACCAAAGGGTGTATTAATTATATTTTGTATTATGATAATAATACTTCGGTAACGTTTTCAGAATATTGTCAAAATCTATATATTAAAAAATTAATCATATATTATTTTTTTAACATTTTGTCAAACTATTATGTTAAGGTTTTAAAGTTTTTACTTTGTATGATAATTTTTTTTTTTTAATTATTTGTGTAAATTTTGACATCTATCTGAAATAAAAAAGTCCTATAACTTTATACAACAATGTATGTTTAACAATAATGTATATTTATCTATTCGTGAATTTATAAAAAGCCTTAATGTATGACCATAATCTTAATGTATGAGCATCAATAAGAATAATCCTGATACCACTTTGGGAATGTTATACTGAATCAGTTGTCAATTTCAAACATTAACAAGATTAGATTAGATTAATCTATAGGACTGTTAAACAACAAAATATGTGTAAAATGACAGTATATTACAATATTACTTACGTTGTGTACAGAAGACACCTGTAGTATGAGTGCAGATTTGTGATAAGCCTAAAACATGTAGAAACCTTCCAACATAGCCCGTGCCAACCCTCGTGCCTGTCTGTTAGTGGTGAGCGACTCTCGTCCGTATGTGCGTGCATACTGTACTCCGTAAGGTCTATTGTCGCACGCTATTGTACATCCACCTGTCACTTCAAGATTTTTCCGGCTTCGTCTAGCGATTAGGCGTTAATTATGGTTTTTAATTGGATCATGGAAATTCAGAATTGAGTAGGCTTTAACTCCCGTTTATTGTTTTTTTGTACTAATATTTTATGGATATATTAAATGGATTGTTCAGATTATTTTAGTATAAGTAAATTATTAGTTATATTTAAAAACTGAACCTGATTTTCTAAAGGACTAATCCTACCACTACCACTCCGTATCGGAAGCGGACTACTGGACAATTGCCTCTCATCGACCTTTGTCAATCAGATGCATCATTTTGTTGTTGTTGTCATGGTTCTTATTTATTTGTCTTCCACATGTTTTCAACTCTATGTATCTTTCCTATGTCTATTTCTAGACTTTTCCTATTGTATTATCTGGGAGACGGACAACCTATCCAAGGGTTAAATTATTGACCTGCGAATTTGTCCCCTATTTTGCAACTTGTCCCAGCACTGAGGGGTCGGGGTGGGACAGGTTGGCCAGTTGGCTGCCCTGCTGCCAGGATTATGATAGAGTTTGATGTTGGTGCACAGGGGAGGGCTGGCCTAAGAAAATAATTGTAAGTGTGTAAGACCCCCACCGGGGGTCATAATATGTGGAAAAAAATATAATATGTGCAGGTCAAAAGGGGGGCCGGGAAAATTTATTGAATTTTGTGCACTTTTAGAACATTAAATCTTTTTTATATATTTGTAACATTAAACCTTAAATTTGATTTAATATTGATTGACTTGATAGGTTATATACTTTTTGTACCGTAAACAACCATTATGATGCTTCGTAGTCACTTTTCAATGATTTTTACACTTATAGTGCAAGTACAGTACAACTTTCACTCTCAGAATAAATAGCAAATAGTGGACTGGAATCACCGTACGCCAGACCGATAAATTGTATACAATTTATCGGGGTCGCCGGATTTCTACCCCCGGATATTTACCCCCATGAAAAAACGCCTACGTCATTTTGACGTCACGAGGGGCGGGGCCTATACACGGTCGAGAAACAGCCCGCGACTGGAAATCTACCCCCGGACATCTACCCCCGGACATCTACCCCCGGACATCTACCCCCAGACATCTACCCCCGGACATCTACCCCCGGACATCTACCCCCAGACATCTACCCCCGGACATCTACCCCCGGAAATCTACCCCCGGACATCTACCCCCGTGGTCAGCTCTGTCACGTATTGGCCAATATTCATTGTTGTAATTGATTTTATTGACTGTTTTATGTAAATCAACGGCTCTTTGGTTAGTAATTTCCCTCTAATATCTAGTATTACGAATGTGATATGTCATTGTCTTGTATAACAATATCTATCTTCCTAATGAAATAGGCTGTAACAGCCCTTTTTCACCCGAACTACTTCACCGATTTTTATGATCGAGGTGTAATTTTAAATCTTAAGATCTAGTGCAACGCAAAATGGTAATTAAAACGATATTACTAGAGAGGAATTAATAATGAAATAATTAATTAATTTATTGATCAACCATTGACAGGTTTTTTATCAACATTTGATTGCACTGTATTCATACCTCTAGTAATCAGAAAATAGCCTCTTTCAATGATATGTATTAAATTTCATGATCTGCGCTCGTGCATGCACCGCGCGTTAGCGGTTACTGTATGTGAAAGTTGGCCAAACACTTAAATCACTGTCTGGAAATAAATCAAATGCTTAAGGGTCAAACTTTTGAAGCCCTTTATCAAAATATCGTTTTAATTACCATTTTGCGTTGCGCTGGATCTTAAGATTTAAAATTACACCTCGATCATAAATATCGATGAAGTAGTTCGGGTGAAAAAGGGCTGTTACAGCCTATTTCATTAGGAAGATAGATAATGTTAAACAATACAATGGCATATCGCATGCGTAATACTAGATATTAGAGGGCAATTACTGGTACTTGAGTATTAAACGGAGGCCACCATTACGAAACGCGCCGCGGCACTTATAGAGGGTTAAATTGTTATAGATGTTGTAGTAGAACTATTCTAGTATTGTTGTGAGTCGAGCGTTATCAGATAACCTAACCTAACCTAACCTAACCACCACACCACGCAATACAATAGTGGCCTCCGTATAGTACATAAGAACCCAATTACTAACCGAAGAGCCGTTGATTTACATAAAACAGTCAATAAAATCAATTACAACAATGAATATTGGCCGATACGTGACAGAGCTGACCACGGGGGGTAGATGTCTGGGGGTAGATGTCCGGGGGTAGATATCCGGGGGTAGATGTCTGGGGGTAGATGTCCGGGGGTAGATGTCCGGGGGTAGATTTCCAGTCGCGGGCTGTTTCTCGGGACGAACCTTCACTGGGCACAAGCCAAAAAGGGTTCACTAATCCTCACCTTGGCTGGGCACATGGTCCACGCCAGGCAGATGGCGCGCGTCAATGAATTCCTAGAAAATCCCGAGTGACCAAAGAAAGTGCATGTTACATGTTATTCAAAACAAGGGTTAAGTTTATCCTAAAATCCCACCATTAGATGATTCAAAAGCCAAAATATAAGTGAAGTGATGTATCAAGAAAGAAGACAGCTGGCAACAACAATGAACCTCTTTTGTGAAATTCTTCGCTTGTCTATCAGACATGACAGATTAAGCACATTATAGCTTATTACGTTACTAGTCCTGAAAATATGTGTTTACTGGACGAAAAGTAAGTAAGTAAGTATTACCATACGAGTCCGGTAAACACATTTTGGACGAGTGACGTACGATAGTTTACTCTTGTATTAATTAAACTAGGACTAATTTTAACTAGGATTAATTTTCTATTTTAGTGAGGGTCTCATCCACAAATATCTTCTAAAGTAAAATGTTATAAAAATATAGCTATAAGCAATAGAAGAGCAGTGGTCTATATATTCTTTTGTTTTTATTAAAATTTGTACTGCCACATCAACATTTAACGATAAGCCACTGTGAAAAATCAATACTGGTGAGAACTTTCAATTTTGTGATTATCAGACCTAGACACCTGAAGAAATTTATCAAAGACACATTCTTATTTTCAGTATATCAAACTAAACATGAAATATCCAAAAGTACAATGTTTGAAAAACTTTCTACAAATCATCAAGAACAATACAATACCCCCGCCACAGCAAACCTGTAGACGAAGCGAATTTCAACCTGTCTGGTTACATTTTTTCTATAAATAAGACATATTTATTCCCAATTTCAATAACATTAGATTTAACGAGTGTTAACGAGGTTTGCTACTACGGGAAAGGTAAAACATGTTTTTTGACCATACGTCAATAGTATAGAATGAAATAAATAAATTTGCCAAATTTTATCAAAATATATCCGTAAACCACAACAACAAAAGTAAACTACAACAGTTTTCATTTTCTCCATGAGACTGTGGTCGTTCCCGTGCGAGACGAAGTCGAGTGCGGGATTGCTATACGAGTCCGGTAAACACATTTTGAACGAGTGACGGACGATAGTTTACTCTTGTTTAAATGTTTAAATTTTAACTCAATCTATCTTGTCTTGGAAAAATATATAATTAAAAATATCGTTATGCCAATGGTTTTAATTATTAATTTTATCTTAATTTTTCCATCTTTTCATAAATTGGGTTTAAATTTTGTGTTTGCATTATGTTAAGGATGTTGTTTTCATTTTTCTTGTTACTAGATATACATGTAATTCTTCTTTTACATTCATCCTTCCTCCTTTTTGTTCATATTCTAACATTTTGACACTATCTTTAATTTGTCCATAACTATGGTTATGTGATAAAATGTGTTCGGCGTACATTGATTTTTGAGTTGTTATTTTGTTGTATTTTACTGCTTGAATGTGTTCTTTGAATCGTCAAGAAATTGATCACCATATTTGTCCCATATAAAGTTTAGAGCAATCTTTGCAGTTGATTTGGTATGTTCCTGATTTTCCACATTTGTGCATTAGTTGTTCATAAATATATATATATGCAAATGAAAACATTAGAAAACAATTAGTACCCTTTTAACTCATTTTATTATCAAACAACTAGTTTCAACACTTGGGCCATAGTCATGTTGATATTTTATTCAAATATAATAACAAATAATAAAAGGAATAATTATAATCATATAACTAACTATACTAACTAAGAGCTAACTTAGAATTTAGAGGATATTGATTTATTCTTTGTTTAATTTTGAGTATATCATATAATATTTCTGTTTTATTGCAATTGTAGGATTTTTTCAAACATCGGATTTGTTTTGTGGGTGTTCATGGTATTCAGTAAATTTTGAGGAAATCTTTAGTAATTTGGGTATATTTATGAAAATCCTCTTTGACATTTATATTAAGATTCATTATTTTGTTATTCTAGAATTTCTAAAGTTCCATGTATATTTTTATATTTATGCCACGTTTCAATTAGGTGCTCTGCAAATTTTGATTTCATTGTCGTTTTGTTACCTGATTTTAATGCTTGTATGTGTTCGTGGAACCTTTTCTTGAATTTACGACTTGTTTGGCCAATGTAGGATTTATTACAGTCTGAACATTTTATTTGATAAATGCCGGATTTGTTCATACTGTGTCTTTAACTTGGTTGTTATATGTTTCATTAGAAATGTTTAACATTAACCCCACAACCAATTTCTCAAAACTATACTAGAGGGTACTATTCAATGGCACAGAAGTACGATATAAACTGACGCGACGTGACGAAGGAAAAATCAAACTAACACTGTGACGGGTGGACCTCCCTTTTAAGTTAGAATGTGTCTCCTCAACAAACAGATATTTTTTTCTCAAATATAATCATAGATTAATCTGTATTGCACTGATGAAATCGCGGAAGTTTTTAACTACAAAAGATCCACCAATACGATTTTAATACTATTTAAAGGTTCTTCCAAAAGAAGAGATACCAGTTAACATACTAATAATAACTCCGATGACGTACGGTATGGGAAATATTTTATTCATTGAATGATCAACCATATTTGGTAACTAACGCAATTAATAGCATTATTGTTTTAACACTTATTAATCTTTAAACAATGCTAATTGCTCAAAATATGTATAATTTTCACTCAATTTATCGCAGTTGGATTAATTAAAGTAAGCCTTGAAAGTAAACCGTCGATTTTGACGGGTTTCACTTAGTATCTGTCTATTCTGTTTAAGAGATTTAAAAAAATCTAAATTGTAAGAGTTTGTTAGCTCACAGGATCATGGGAGAGGGTTCAAATTACAGGTCACAGGGGGTTGGGAAAAATAGCGGATTATGTCCAAATCTACCAGATCATGAGAAATAATGAAAAATATGCTCATTAACATGTGATTACAAATGAATAATTGTAACTTTTATTCTACTTTTAATTCTGTTGGTAGAGTGTAGTTATAATAAATACAATAAGCCCAACAGTTTTAGTGGTTTGTACTTACAGTCTTACGTTCATTAGTTACGTCTTTAGTTCACTGGCTGGCTACGTGAGTTCTTCCTGGAACCGAGGGGGGCAGACCCTCCCTGCCAAAGATAAAGGATGTGCCCAGCCAAGGCGTTTCAGTTGCCGCATGTGCCCAGTAAAGGCAAGCCCGTTTCTCGACCGTGTATAGGCCCCGCCCCTCGTGACGTCAAAATGACGTAGGCGTTTTTTCATGGGGGTAAATATCCGGGGGTAGAAATCCGCTACCCCAATTGTATTGCATGTGGATGGGGAGGCAGAAATATGTCACAACCACAACCCTTCCCGCGACCCGCCACACAGACGTAGTCGGCTGCTCTACTGTGACCTTGGACGTTAGTCAAGGGCATCTGACTACTGTCTTATTTAAAATATTGCTGCCCATTGCCCAACATTTAAATCAATTTCTATGAATTTACCAATTTTGTTTATTTATTTATTTTTTTGTTAATTTTATGCCCCTCCAAGGTTGGAGTGTGCGGCCATGTGCGGCTGCATACGTCGCACACCCCTCAGGCCCAGATGAATGCAAAATATATTTCTAGCCTTTTCATTCCGATGCACCGGAAGATCATATTACTTCCCTTAACGAATTGTAATGCTAGCAGTAATAATTTATACTTCATTATCCACATACTTGCTATTCTGTAAAAATATATATTTTCGTATTCTTTATATTATAAAGTATGGTAATTGAATGGCTTTGGGAATACCATATCGCACTAATGACAGTCACATCGTTGATAGTGAGAATATGTATTAATTTCTCTAATTATGAAAAAAAACTGTATACATACAGTGATAAACAAATGGAGAAAATATTAATTTGCTATTTTGCTGATACTATATATATCACTCGACTTTTATATGCAAACTCACTGCAACAGTTAGGTAAAAACACCCATGAAATCATCATACTTATCAATCTTTCACTGCAAAATTTTAATAACGTATCTATTTTTATTTTGTCCTGTGGTACGAATGTACGACTAAAAAATCACTGTAGGCCACTAAACTTTCAACTTTCTAACAAAAAAGAAGTGAAAAAAAATTGGTTATGCCTATTTTGAAAATGTGCAAAAGAAGTTTCGGATAAATTACATCGACCAAAGACTGGTCTCAGAGTATAATGATAATGATAATTCCCCGTGCAAAGCTCAGTTCCAGTTACTCGTATTGCTTTATCTATGCTTTTACTAACTATATCCATAAACAAGCAAACTATTACCATTTTACCTATTCGTACGAACAATAATGACTAACAGCTGGTAAGTGGTAAGGCGGGAAATTCATATTCCATCTACATGTATTAGTTACAGAAATCACCGCAGCTGCATCGCCACCGTTCTGCGCACGCAGTGGCACTAGTGCCGTGATGCCACAGCTGATGAGTAAATTATCGTACACGGCCGTGCAGATTATCGTACCTATGGTGGAATTATCGTCGTACTCTAAGCAAAAATGAAAAAAAAAACTCAAGTTAGATTTCACCCATACGCTAGTAGTTTAAGCGAATTTCCCCTATAGGGAATAAGCTATTACCGTAGTACTCATGGTAAGACCTGGACCCGGGACCGATTTACTTTTTCGTTTTGAGGTCCATAGAGACCAAAAACACCATCCGTTCAAATTCATATATATATTTATATATGTGTCCGTTAGCGCGATAACTCGAGCAAAAATTATCCGATTTTGATGAAATTTGGTACAAACGTGTAAACTTACGTTTATACGAACGAGTTCACAAACCAGCATGATCGGACTATGGGAACAGGGGTTTATGGGGGGTTTTATGGGGCAAAAATTGGTTTTTCCCATTTTGACCCTAAAAACTTAAAATTTTGCATTTTCTTTCCAAACAATTTTGTAGAGCTTAAAAAAAATAATTTAGTATATTGAAGCGTTATTATGCGCCTAACGGTTACAGAGAATGTTATTCTTATGGAGAATAAGTAAACTGTTGTAGTTTGCTTGTTTATGATCATATTTTGATCAAATTTCGGAGAAATGCATTCATTTCATACTAAACTATTAACATTTAAAAAAAAAAAAAAAAAAAAAACTTTTTACCCTCCCTGTTGCAGCAAACCTAAGTACTCGTTAAACTAATGTTATTTAAATAGGGAATAAATGTGATATTTTTAAGGAGATATTTTAGTGTAAATCCAATCAGGCAAATGGAAATTCGCTTAGTCTGCAGGTTTGCTGCGGCGGGGGTATTTTTTACTTTACTTCTATTTTGATTTTGTTGTTTTGAAGGATTATTGAATTTTCACACACTCAAAAATAGTGATAATACTCCAATATGGTTTGATTTTAAAAGTCATCATTTTGACATAATATTTACTCATAAAAGACTATCTGAAAAACATTCTAATTGAAGGTTCAGAAAAGTTAAATTTCCGCCCAAAGTTAACCTTTTACACAGAGAATAGAGATAAAAAAGACACAAAATTTCTCAAACATTGAATACTGTATAATTTTTAATGAAGGCAAACTGTTACATCACAAAAATCTTTTTCTGTTTAAATTTTAATTTTATACATCAGGTATAATCCTGCATAAATAATAAAGACATGTCGTTGAAACCGTAGTAACTATTTTATGGTTAATGTGTGTTATAGTCTCTAAACACGAGTACTCAACAAGTACTAAACAAATCAAATCAATACGGTAATATCCGGTTTCTGTATAACACACTAACCTACAAATTATTTCTCCGTTCAACACACTAACATAAAGGTGTTTTCTCCGGGTAACACACTAACCTAAAACTTATTTCTTCGGATAACACCTTAACAAATGGTTATTTGCATAGCCTACATCCTAAAAGTAATTTATTCTAATAACAAAAGTAACTTCTCCGTATAACACATAAACAAAAGTAACTTCTCCGTATAACACACTAACAAAAGTTATTTCTCCATATAACACATTAACATAAAAAAAAACATGTCTCCGTACAACACATGAACACAAAAGTTATTTCTATGTATAATTAACTAAAGTAAAAGTAATTTCTTCGTATAACCATTAACTATGTTACAGTCAATGGTATAAGACACTAACCCAAAAGTAATTTCTCCAAAGCACTAACATAACAATTTTATGTATATAATTGAGCATTGCTCGTTTCGTCCAGCAGTCCCAGTAAACCTTGGTACAAAACATCACTGATCAGTTTTTCCGCGTGTATCCTCTGGATTTCGTCCATTTTCCGAAGCTTGGCCGCTACTGATTTCCCGACACAAGCGTATTCGTCTTCGTTGGTCTGAAGTACCGAGATGACTGTGTTTAGCACGTTGTCGTTGTCTCTCGGATTCGGATTAATCCGAGTACTGGGAGTGATGTCGTGTTGCGGATTCGGATTAATCCGAGTACTCAGAGTGTTGTTGTGTTGCGGATTCGGATTAATCCGAATGCTCGGAGTGTTGTCGTTGTCACTCGGATTCGGATTAGTCTCAGAGGGAGTGTTGTCGTGTTGCGGATTCGTATTAATCCGAATGCTCGGAGTGTTGTCTTTGTCACTCGGATTCGGATTAGTCCCAGTGGGAGTGTTGTCGTGTTGCGGATTCGTATTAATCCGAGTACTCGGAGTGTTGTTGTGTTGCGGATTCGGATTAATCCAAATGCTCGGAGTGTTGTCGTTGTCACTCGGATTCGGATTAGTCCCAGTGGGAGTGTTGTCGTGTTGCGGATTCGTATTAATCCGAGTACTCGGAGTGTTGTTTTGTTGCGGATTCGGATTAATCCGAATGCTCGGAGTGTTGTCGTAGTCTTTCGGATCGGTCTGCGTTGTTGTCTGAAGAGATTCCGTTTTCATGATCACTATGGGTTCTGTATTGGATTTGCGTTTCTTCGCTGGAGATTCAGCAATGTTCGGTATCTGGAACAAAACAGACATAACATGTTTACAATCTCGTTTGACAGTTTCAGGTTTTTATTTTCTTTTTGTACCTACTGACACTATCTAAACCGCTGATCTTGATGCTTGTTCAACCTTAAAAGTTAAACCCAATTTTTATTTTCTGTCGATTGTTAATTTGTTGTATATATATATTGGTATATGTGTGGATGTGATACTCCCTGGTGTGGATTAACGTCAGCACTATATAGTGAGTACTATACGACTATCCACAGTACTATACTTATACTTGGACCAATTCGTTAATACCAAGGCAAGAATGTGGTTCGGATTCCACTATAAAACTTTAGGCCACTTAGTTGCCATTAGCTGTTTGGGCTATTAATTAACAGCAGTGTCTAAGGAATATGTTGGCATTAGTCACAAACAAGACTAAAAGATCGCGCCACTCATCCTTCAATCATTTTGGGTTAAAATACGCACATTTTGGCGTTCCCATCTTAAATCCATAAAAAATAAAGCCTCCAAAGTACCCATGAACTTTTGAGAAAACTACAAGTCATACCCCCATAAATCATATACTTAAAATGTTCGTCATAACGAAAACCTTGGGTTAAACTATCCATTATTTCATAAATTGCCCTTTAAGGTCGCGCGCGTCTACGCAAAATAGTTTTGCGTAGCATGTTAATCTTTGTCAATACGTATGAAGTCAAACGGTTTGAAGCCCGTGGGTAACAGCCAGTAATTGATCAATTGATAATTGATAATTGATAATTGATAATTGATAATTGATAATTGATAATATATACCTATTGATATATCTATTGGTATATCATAAAAAAATGAAGACCTCATATTTTCCAATGTATTAATTGTCTATGTCAGAAAACCTCGTGCAATGATTTGTGTGCTCTAGCAGGAGAAGCTGTAGAAATAAAATATATTGGCCTATAGATAGTGAATTAAATTGGGAAAAAAAGTTTTTAATAAAAAAATAATAATGTATTTGGTTTTTTTAGGGAATTGTGTAATGAGGAAATCTTGAAACTACTTTATTTTTTCTTTATTCCAAAGTCGTTTTGAAAAGGGGTTGACTCTTCGGGGTGGAACGTACAAATGAAAACGCACGTTCACTTTTGTTACAACTTTACATACAAATTTTGTCCGATTAATTTTAAGAAAAGTAAAAACTGAAACTTAAAAACCATTGTTTTTCTCTTTAAAGATCTTTCCGCTAGAGTATCTAAATGCATCTAAAAATGTGCACAAGGTATTAAAATAGTGTTACGGTAAAAGTGGCAATCTAATTTTCTTTGGAACTTCTTACCGATCAAAACTAAGAACTGGAAACAATTTTACTGTCCCAAAACCGGTAAACACTTTCTTTACTAAAAGTTTTATTTTAATGGCACCAAGGATGTATAATTTTATACCAGATTGGACCTATATAAAAAGTGCCTTTAATTCTATGATTTTTTCAAACCGATTACAGTAATGGCGTTTTACACAATCATAAATTGTCTTACTAATATACATGAATACAGGTTTAATACATTCAATATAATTATATTTGCACCACACTATGATGTTTTTGGCTGTATTACATACGTTAATTGGTGGCTGAAAGTTACGTTTTGCTGGCCATGACAGCTGTCATCGTAATTTGGAGACCGAGCAGGTTTTTACATCCCGGGGCCGCAAAATCAGCTGTCCGCTTGCATATTAATTACACAAACAGTATCCATAGCATTGAAATAGAATTGTTTTATTTTCACCGTGTAGTTACAGATGTGCATGAAATTGAATCAGGTGTACCACAAGGTAGTGTTCTTGGGCCTGTTTTGTACATTTTGTTCTGTGATTTTGTTCACTTATGACCTTCCAAGTACTCCAGGTATTACGGTTGCAACATTTGCAGATGACACTGCTTTTTTATCATCAAATCAGGATCCTATTCTGGCATCATCATACCTTCAGGCTGCATTAGACGATTTGTCTCGGTGGCTACAGAATTGGAAAATTAAAGTAAATGAAACAAAATCCGTTGAAAAAAATCCGTTCATGTAGTTACATTTACTATGTCTACAAGAACTTGTCCCCCAGTAACATGGAATAATGTCATGCTTCCACAATCCAACGAAGTTAAGTACCTTGGTATGCATCTCGACAGACTGCTTACATGGCATTCACATATTTGGAACAAACTACTTCATTTAAATTTAAAAACGAACAAACTAAATTGGCTCATTGGTCAAAATTCAAAATTATCCGTTGAAAATAAATTACCTTTATACAAAATTATATTGAAACCTATTTGGACCTACGGTATCCAACTCTGGGGAACCACTTCCAACTCAAACATAGAAATAGTTCAAAGGTTTCAATCGAAAACACTGAGACAAATTTTACAAGCACCTTGGTTTGTCACAAATAAAGTAATTCATCAAGATACAAAATTACCCTATGTTAGAGAAGAAATAAAAAAACGAAGTGAAAAATATCAAAGAAAATTAGAAAGCCATCCAAATTTCCTGGCAGTTAACCTCCTCGATAATAGTGAAGCTACATATAGGCTCAAAAAAGTTAATCCAATAGACCTTCCAAATCGTTTTTAGTTAAACTTTTTAAAAGTTTTTGTATGTTAGTGCACTTGATGGAGTGTAACTACCTCATGTTGAAATGGTTATTAAATTTACTTATTGTTCTAGTATAGAGTAGATTGTAAATATAAATACTTGTTAAAAAAAATATTTCACCGTTGCCTAGCAACTGTTTATTATTATTTTTGCTGATTCCTGAAATTACTTCTTCACATAACCTTAAAGTTGCGTTGACTATCAGTTTTCATTATTATTATTGTGAACTAGCGTTGTACCCGTGCTTTGCAACGGGAAGAGGATACAAAATATAAACATTTTAATCATTATCTCTTGCATATAATAGTTACAGATCCGCCAACGCTTTTAGAAACAAAATTCAACTTTTATAGCCTTAATAGAAACGTTTAAGTTATGACTTCTAAATCTGGTAAGTAGTGGATACCACCATTTTGGTTTTGATTAATTTTAAATCTTTTGGAGGCTGATATGAGAAAAACTGACCAAATCTTCGAGTAAAACTTGAACATGATTTACCAGATTTACCTTCATCTCCCTTAATTACACATCTTTTAATTATTGACATTTTAAATTTAAATTTTGAAGTTGCAAAAATACTAATTATTAAATTTAAATATCTTTATATTAAACTCTTCTTTATATTAAATCACAAATCTTTTCATCTTCAGTTTTTTCACTCACAATAAATCATTAGCAAAACTAAGTCAGCTGTTATAAACTTTAGAAATATTGCTGTGCCTTATCAATACAGTCTTTTGAAATATTAAAGAAACTATATCCATAGGTACTATAAAAAATGTCAAACAAATAATTTAGCATTAAAGACAGCAGACAAAACTAATATGATTATCAAAGCATCAAGGACAAAAATGTAATAGCAAATACAGAATATGTTTCATTGATCTCTGATTCTACTATACAAAAATATCAACAAACAACTTAGTATACAAACAAGTTCTTTTAATCAGTTCCATCGTCCATTGCCTTTACATTTTAACATTTACCATTAGGAAAACATAGTAACAGATATTTCATTGATTGTAGAAACAAAAGAACACTGCTTAGTTTTATGATATTTTCCTTGGTTTAATTTAATCAGTGGTGTGGCAAAACACAAACAATAAATTTATCAAATAAAGTAAAATTTGAGCTGAAAGCTATGTTAAGATAAAATAAAGAGTATTTTGTATTACCGCACATATACAACAGATTTTAGAAAACAAAAATCAAAGACAATTTAGTTATTGATGGTATTTTTTAGTTTAATTTAAGCATAGGTTTAGCAAAACACAATAACTTAATTTACCTAAATATACATATAAAAAACAATGTGATGTGCAAATTATAGTTAATCTAACATATGTGAAACAGTTTGAATTTATTTAAAGTAGCCTCCTAATTCATACAAAAAATCTATACATTGTAATTTTCATACTGTTTCCACGAAAACATATCAATAACATTATTTTCACTTAAGATTATTAACTTAAGACGCTTTAAAAAATCCAAAGCAGAGCCGGAGTTGACACAGCAACGGTTATAAAATCTTTTTTTTTCTATAATCATTGACATAGTTTTAGAATAAATAATCCATGATAAAATGTTAGATCAAAATAAACCTACCTCATATTTATGGAAAATATTATTTCTTTGTATCAGCTGTCTGAAATTGTGAAATATGCAGTTTAGCAGTTCTTGTTTATATTTAAATGTCAAAGCAAATGTAAACAAACATTGTTAGTGTTCTCATCACAACCATGGAGACCAATCAATATTTACTTTTAAAATGTTCACCTAAGAACTTTTAAAACCAAAGGGGCAAAGCCTACGGTCAGTATCGAAATGTGAATAGTCCTATAGTCCTTGGGATGGTAACTATATTTTTGTAAAATTTAAGCCCAGTTAGTTCAGTGGTTTTTGCACCTATTAGTAATACACATACAGACAGACACCATTAGATTTTTATATAATAGTATAGATAGTAGTAGTGTGGTGAAAAATAGTGTTCGTACCACGGACCGAAAATGGTTTTGCAGCTCTCGACCGATTTAGTTCTCGACTTCGTCTCGAACTTAAAAACTACGGTATCTCAAGCCGGCAAAACCTCGTTTTCGGCCCTAGGTACGAAATATACTATTTTATTAATACTTCACGAATTAAAAGTAGTACAGCAAGAAGTATGTATGTTTTAGACAGTGCATTTATTTATTTTCAAAGCAGGAGTAGTTTTTGTAAGTTATCATTTATTTTAAGTTAGCGTCTAAGAGCTGTTTTTACTTTTAAAATTAATATGACAATGGAGCCTCCATTCAGGCTAGGCTTTGGAGGTTCTCAATTTCCCCCAAAATAAGTATAATTTAGTTTGAACATGTAGGTATGGCTTAACTTTAAAAATAAAGA